TCGAAATTATTTAATTCCATTCGAAATTATTTCGTACAAAGTGACTATTCACTTCAAACTGAAAAATCACTATTTGCACATCCCTACCTGCTGCATTTACCCATGTTTTCCCACATCCAGAAACTGCTTCACTGAATTGCATGATCACCACAATGCTTGAGACTATGTGGTAGAACATGATAAGTTTTTTTATCTAGAGCAAGGGTCAGCAATCGTGAGGGGTGGGGGGGTGGGGGTGAGAAAAGGCAAAAAGGAAGTGATGACATGCTCTCTGTCCAAGTATGGAAATGCCTCCTGTCTAAGCCTCTTTTGATGTCAAAACTGTCGCATGGTACTTAAGTCTATGTTCCGTGAGAGAAAGCAGCGGGGAGGGGGGGTCCTATTCTGGTGTCGTGCCGGGGGCAACATAAAACTGCCTCACGGGCCATGGGTTGCCGACCCCTGATCTAGAGCACTGCAATTTGCAGCCTGTCTTTCAGTTGAAATTTGGCATATCTTGTACCTTTTAAAATTTTTTAGCTGTCGTTTTTTGCCAAGATACCTGGATATTTTTCTCATTTTCGCTGTGTTGGCCGCAATAATTTCGGATTTCAGAAATTTTGCAATTTATTAGGCTCCTACTTTATACCTCTACCATTAAAAAGAGCATTTATTACGCTACATTTTTATATACTGCTACTAATTTTAGACGCAGAGGAAAAAAAAAAGAATACTGGGACCCTAAAAGAATGGTTTTTTTTCCATGTTAAAGAAAGAGTGAAGCTGAGACTGCAGTCAGAGCTACATGCACGAGTCAGTCTACATTCCTCGCTTCTATAGTCCGGTGCAACCTAAGAACGAAGGGCGAGGGTAAAACGGGCCGGGGAGGAGGAAGCAGACGGAACGCTGGAGAAGAGAGGGGGAAACCTCCTTCTCTCTTTAACATTCCGTCTGCTTCCTCCTCCCCGGCCCGTCTTACCCTCGCCCTTCGTTCTTAGGTTGCAACGGACTATAGCACAAGCGCTCATCCTGCTGAAGACCGTTTCAAAGAGAAAAACTCATGCTGTCATGCTTGTAGCGGGTGAACGGAGTATACTTAAGTGATGTGACACCATGGTGTCATGTCATATTGCACGACTTGACAGTGTGATGCAATGTCATTTCAAGTGGTCACATGTTCCACAGCCACATCAGCCACGTGAACAGGTAAAACAGGTCCAGACAGGCTGAAGCAGTTGGAAATGGGTCGACACAAACGCACGATGCATTCTGCATGAATCATCGTTATGCTAAGTATCAAGTTAAGTTCTTTCTCTGTCACGGACGCCTTCTGACCTATAGCCTTATGGTCCACGGTAGCAGCATTCGGGTAGGATGGGTGCTATCTTTAGTTGTGGTTCTTGTAGGAGGTGGGCAATTACTTAGCGATATTTGGGAAAATTATAATTTGGCCAAAAGGTATGGTAGGCGATGATTCGAAATATTACAGTAATATCGCTTTAATGGGATATAATAGCCACAATACTTAGTCAAAATGATGGTGGGTTCCTACCCATTAAAAAAAATCACATCATCTCCATGTGGTGAATGATGTTGATTGGGGCGAAGCTCTGGTGGTGCTGATGATACTGATTTTATTGTTCATAGGTAGTGCCGACGGTGCTGATTTTTTGTTTATTTCTCATAGGTAATGCTGAGTTCCGGGTTGCGTTTCGACTTCATTATTACTGCTTATTACTTACTTATTACTATTACTTATTAACCCCAGCTCTTGAGTTATTACCACATCTCAGAGCACCCTACACGTCCCGCATTCGTGGCCGAGTGGTTAAGGCGATGGACTAGAAATCCATTGGGGTCTCCCCCCGCACAGGTTCGAATCCTGTCGACTGCGCAAACATTTTTTTTTTTTAAGAAGACAGATGGGATGGCAATCGATGTGAGCACGGATACCAGACGGACAAAGCTAGACCGTAAGGAGCTTCGCCCCTAATAGGACCATCAGCTGTTTACTTGGGCTCCAGCATGTCGGCTGCTCCCAAAGCCATACTGAACTAATTTTCGTGCAGCCTGCACTTTTCGAACGTGGCGTGAACGATTGAAGCGGCTTCTTCGTTGCACATGCACACGACCGTTCGATTTCGCGGACACAGAAATCACGCAGTTGAGGTTCGTGCAACTCAGAAGAACTATTTGCACTGTGGCACAAAAGTAACATCACCAGCACCATCACAGCTGACTGTCGTTGTTACCGATGCTCCCAACCTTTCTGTTTTAACCCCTAAGCTTGAAAGTTTGAAACAATCGCACACAGAACTAGTATACCTAATACCGTGAAAAAGTACCACACTGTAATTCAAGGACGCCGACCACGCTTACAACAGTCGCAGTCCAAACATTTAGGAACTTGTGCGGAAACCAAAAACAGTTGCAAAATTGAATGCAGGTCTTGTTGAGCCTGCAGAACACGACCTGCTACCAGCCGTAATTTTTGTTGATAGTGGTGACACATATAAACCGACACGCGGGCTTGACGTCATAGAGCTGTGGCGGCGCTGCGATCGCGCCAAACCGGATAATGTGGGCGAAAGGGCGCGCGTTTTGCATAGGCGTCATAGCATTTCAGCTTGCCGCGAAGCTGTGTAGCCGTTAATTGCCCCAAAAGGTACAGAAAAAATTAGCGGAGCGAGTTTCCATAAGTTCCCGGCGAACTCTGAAAGGCACAGAAAGTAGATAATATTCGTGGATCGAAAAGAATGGTCGCCTCGCGCGAACGAGCGTTTGTGCGGCAAGCACTTTCTTGAAGGCAAGTGCGGCTTCCATTTCAATCTCCATCCCGAGGCTTGCTGATGTTCAGGGAAACCGTCGTCTGAACGAGACCACCCGAATTTTTTTCCCACGGTGTTCGCACACAAAGAACCGGCCAAGTGCTCGTCGGAGGCTCGCTACGCCCGTGCTACTAAGCAGAAGGGGATCGGCGACAGAACGGCAGTGTTGTAGGCACTACCGAAAAAAAAGTAACGAAATACGTTACTTGCAAATAAAAGGTACGCGTTACTGAGCTACGTTACCTAAAAATAAGAAGAATGTGTTACCGCTACCGATAAAAAGTAACGCACGTTACTTTTTAAATTATGATTTAACACATTTTACTGTTTTGACGATACAGCTATGCATAAGCTCATATATCAAGAAACATTATGTTCATGCAGAAACGGAACATAATTACTTTATCTCTTTTTGCGGTTTCAACTCAACACTCACGAGAAAAAACGCAGAAACCTCAGAAATTCACGTGGCGTGACGCCTAAAAACACGGAAAAAACTGAAGTGTAATTTCTTTAAGACTTGGGAAGTAGTAACGAGTAACGTAATTATGTTATTTGAAATAGTAACGTAAGTAACGACTAGGTTACTAAGTTTCTGAAAAAAGTAACGCGATCCTGGTAACGCCGTTACTCGTAATGTGTTACCGCCAAGACTGCAGAACGGACAAAGCTTGTCATGCCTTGTGGTCATGAGGGTAGGAAAAATATCATACCTTGACTTGAAGATGCTGTGTATATTTAACCAATTAATAAATACCCTTCTGCAGACCCACAGTCTGCTGATCCCGCCGGCAGTGCGGAAACCGACCCGAAGTAATTGTAGGCCTCGAGAGACTTGTGCGCCTGCACCGTGTCAGCCGTGAACTGGCTTGGCAAAAAAACTAAATAAACAATGACGTGAGCCGTCGATTTCGGTGGCAGCAACTTCACATCGGAAGTCTAGCAGGCCTCGTTTGCGGTGTACAGATCCTCGAAGGCAACGCTGTCCACGCGCAGTTTGTTTCGATACCACTGCCGTTCAGGCTCGGGCAGCGAGCTCAAATAGTCGGGCATAGCATGCGACATACGTTGTCAGAAAATACGACGCACAAATTAAGATAGAAGCGTCCTTACAACGTCAACAACGAGCGTACGCCACACAACACAATGGCGAAAAAACAGAGAGCCGGGCCGCTTTTGCCCACATAGCTTCCGCGCATGCGCGGCCTTCCGGCCGTGTTGGTAAACAGAGCCGCTCCGCGTGTCGGTCTATAGGCTGCTGGAGTCTCGAAAATGCCGCATGATCATGCCGTGCCGTGCGCATAACTATCACTTTTCTTCCCTCAAAGTTTAGATATACCGAAATATAGGTACAGTAAACATGCTTCCTATTTCCGTCCAGTCTGTTACAAGCGGGCTGAACTTTACCCGTAATGTCCACATTTCGGGTATAATTCCACACTCTTCACGTGGATAGTCTGGATGTCATACCAACATATTCAGAGGCAACATTAAAGGGAAACTGAAGCGGTTCTCTATTTGAGAAAAAACATTTCAATGGCCTTCATTCTACCTCCAGGATCAGGAATATCAAGATTATTTTTCAATTTGGTGCACGGAGGCTTCAGAAATTAATTTTTAAAGTACCGCCGAAGCCCCTCCTTCCCGGGGCGTGACGTCACACTAGGAGCGTTCGGAATATCTGCTCTCGCGCATCTTCAGCGCCTGTCAAAGCTATGCACGCGCACTCTTGCTATTTTCGAAAAGGTGAGAAAGAGACGTCACGACTGGTGTCAGTGCGGGGAAATATACCCGGCAAGCTTGCCGTTGTACGCGCTGAACACACGAGCGACACGCGCTTGGAGGCCCGAAGATCCTAGTATGACGTCACGACTGGTCGAATGTTTTTTCGCTTTTTCTCGCTTTTAGTTGCATCTTCGGGGAAAACAAAAGTGATATTCAGATTCACGGGATAAAAATACGCCAGAATTCACCTCTAACTCGTTTTTTGCAAGAAGTGTTTCAGCTTCCCTTTAAACATGTCCACATAAAGAGTACAGTAAAAAGTATGCGAGCAACCCAAGAAAATCGCAGCATTTCAGTAAAGTTCACCAGCTCAACCAAATCTCGGGTCGAACAACGCCCCACTAACAAAGCAGGGTGCACTAGCAACCTGCAGAAAGGGCAGCCCAGAACAAGCACCCCCAGACTCACCCTGCGGCACACCGTAGAGAATGTTGACCGTGACACTGCCATGCAGCTCGTGCTGGTCTGTAACTACGACGGCAAACAGAGTGCCCCGCAGGGTCAGGTCCTCCAGAGCCCGACTGAGGAGGGCCTCGTCCTTGAGAAAGAGCAGGTCCACTTGCATGCCCAGGTTTTTGAGGCGACGCTCCACCATCTCCGCATAGCTCCTGCGCAGGAGGGCTCCCTTCAAATCCCAGTTGGCACACATTGGCTGCCGCATCTACCTGTTCTGCCGTCGGAGGACAATGATCTCGCAGTCGTTTGGCTTGCGCAAGGCGGCCGCTTCTGGCCGGAAGGCTGGCGGCGGCGGGGGCTCGATCCTGTGGCGAGGAAACACGAAGGTGGAACACAAACTTCAATTGACTGGCTCGCAAACTCCCGGCTCGAGGGCTGCTTGCGGCCTCAGTGGGGAAGGCAGGTTCTGACCTGGGGGGTCTGAGTGGAAGCTCGTCCCGCATGTAGCCGCCAGGTCCCGGAGGAGGCTCCTCCCGCCCGCGGTGGCCACCGTAGTCATCCCGACCGCCCCAGTAGCCGTCTCGGGGGTAGCGCCCGTTGCCTTCGCCCCGGGAGTCACCTCTGGGATCGCCCCGAAGATCAGCTCGCGGATCACCTCTTGGGTCCCCACGCGGGAAAGGCCGCGGGGGTGGTTCGTCTCGGCCATAGCCGCGGTCGTCCCGTCCAGGGTATCTGGCATTGACAGTTGGCCTCGGATTTTATTCACGTTACCGGTATAGAAAAAGGACTTCGCAATGGGTTTAGTGTTCTGAAAGTAGGCCAATCTGAACTATTTTGTATTTGATGGTTCACCTAGTTTCATTTCATTTCATTTAATGAAAAACGCAGAGATGCGAGGTTGCTAGGTATTAAAAAAAGTGACAAGTGCAGCTCTGAAACAGGATGATACCTGAATATTGACAATATTTTCTGGAAGTGAGTTCCAATGTGAAATGGATAACTGAAGCGGTGAACGTTTGAAAAAGTTTGTTCTTGGTGCGGTCAAATGAAGTTTTTGAGAGTGGTCCGTACGTGGTGCAATGTGATGTGCAGCCGGGCAATACAACTCTCTCTTTGATAGGCAGTGGTAATACAAATAGTGCAGGGAGACTAGTCTGGCAGCTTTTCTTCTGTCTGCTAGTAGCGGAAGGCAGAGTTCTTTTAGTGTGGTAATGCTAGTATGCATATAGTTTTTAAGGATGACGCGAGTGGCTCTATATTGTACTGATTCTAATTTCTGTATCGGGTAAGCCTGGTGGGGGTTCCATATTGTATAGTCTACGCTCGTTATAAAAGACCTTGATTTTGACTAAGATTTCGATCTGTTGTAAAAGGAGTATGTTGTATGCAGATATGAAGTTGAGTCAATGGTATGTAGAGGAAAACCAACCAAACCTCACAAATTGGTATGTTATATCTAGGGTGTGTACTTTCCGGTGTTTATTTGTGAGAAAAATCGGCGGATGTTTTTCGGTGTTTATTTATTTTCAAAACACCGGTGTATTTCGGTGGAACGTCTCACGACGAGGCTAAAATCAGTGAATATCGGTGAAAAAAAAGCGATTTATCACAGACAGAGAGTTCCAATTTTATTCACATAGTTCATACATTCTTCTCTAGGAAGCAACTATTTCTAACACTTGGTTATCATAGTAGATGCAAGCATACTTACATGCTTGCATCTACAAGCAAGGAACGTGCTGCCGTCATGGCAGCACGTTCCTTGCGGTTCGCAACCCGCAATTATGAAAACGCACGCTCCTGTACGACACGGACGTTGGCAGTGTCTTCCAGGAACCACAGCAACCTCTGTATACATGGCTTGCACCGACATCACTTGGCCAGACACAATGAGGAAAAGGCACGTGAGAGCCTACCCTCCACTGTGTTAATTTTTCCCCAAAAGGGGGCCATGGGAGACACAATAGGGGAAAGGCGTATGGCTTAGCTTCCACTGCGTTCACTACACACACGCTTTTGACCTCCAGAAAGGAGGGCGGACTGACGCCACCTGCAAGCCATGTATAAACACTGGAAGAATGCAGGATCCACGAGATAACACGTTTGACGAACCTCTACGGGGAAAGGGTTTCGCTAGGTCGGAAACTAGCAACGACCGGTGTTTTTCGGTTTTAACCAGGGCGAAAATATCCAACCACCGGTGTTTTTCGGTTTTAACCGATTTTGTATTTTCGTCACCGACGGATGTTTATCGGTGTTTTTCGGTTAAAACCGGAAAATGCACACCCTAGTTATATCCAAATGTCTCTTGTAACCAGGTCTGTTCCAATGAGCTTAGACTGTAGATGCATACTAGAGCTACGGGCAAACAAGGGTGGTATAAGCAACGAGTTTTGTTTCCCAATTTGCCATGTGTAATGTTTGTCTTATAAAACCAAGACTTTGGTTTGCCTTTGCAGTGATGTGATTGATATGTTGCTCCCAAGATATGTTTGATTTGAAATGAACCCCAAGGTATTTGTATGTGTGCACACACTCAATGGGTGCATCAAAGAAATAGTTGAATACCGTGGCACTTTGTTTATTGCTGAAATTTAAAATTTTTGTCTTGGAGGTGTTTATCTGCATTTGCCACTTTCCACACCATTCTTCTAGAGTAGTTAAGTCATTTTGAAGTTGAATACAATCTTCAACGCACATCATTTTTCAATACACCACACAGTCGCCGGCGTGCAAATGGATGGTGGAACGAATAGCAGTCGGCAAGTTGTTTACATACAAAAGGAAAAGCAGTGGACCCAGCACGGTTCCTTGTGACACTCCATGTTCTACTTTTTGGTGTGAAGAACAATGATCATAACATATACTTTGTGAGCAGTTAGGAAAAATATTAAATCCATTCAATGGCAGATAGCTCTACTTGAAAAGTGTGCAGTTTAAGCATAAGTCAATGATGAGACACTTTGTCGAAGGCTTTCTGAAAGTTAATAAATATTGCATGGGTCTCCGTCTTACAGTGAAAGTTATTATGTATGTGAGTTATAAATTCAAAAACGGGTCTCATAAGAAAGAGACTGCCAGAAACCGTGCTGGTTAACAAAGAAGAGGTTGTTTGCAGCATGTGATCCATGATATTTGAAAATACAGTCGAATCTCGTTAATTCAAACTCAAAAGGGATCGAAAATTTGTCTGAATAAAGTAAAGTTTGAATTACCGGGAGTTTCTTTCCATAGAGATGCATAGGATGGGACCTGTATGTTAGTTTGAATTATCCGTAAGTTTAAATTAAGAGAGTTTGAATTAACGAGATTCAACTGTAATACATGTTCTATTAGTTCGCTTGGAATTCTCGTCAGAGAGATTGGTCGGTAGTTCGTAAACTCGTTCCTCTGACCACTTTTAAAAACAGGGGTGACGTTTGCCAGTTTCCAGTCGGCAGGTATTTTGTCCAGTATTTAGGGATTGTTGAAGAATAGAACAGAGAAGAGTGGAAGACTCATATTTGCTAAGCTTAAGTAGCTCCATTGAGATCTTATCAGGGCCAGAGGTTGAGTGTGTCGGAAGATTTTCTATAAACTTCTGAATTCCATCCGCAGATAGAGTTATTGGACTCATTTATACCAGTATATCATACTCAGGCGACTCTGGTAGGGGGAAGGTGTGTTCAGAAAACATTCCGCTAAAAAATTTACTAAACTGTTCGGACACTGTAGCAGTATCGAGCTCATCTCCCGAGGGACCAGTGAATCGGTAGAGCTTGGAAACTTGCTTGCGGTTAACTGAACTCCAAAATTTTTTGGGATTAGTTTTCAAAAGATTCCGGAGGTCTTCGCTGAAATACAATGAAATACAAAGTCCCCATTGAGATGAGTCCTTGTGCTCCAATGCCACAAGATTATTGTCGGCTATGAGGAGTTATGCCGCTGACACCCATCTCTATAGTCTAGTTCATTTCACCAGCAGGCTGCAAACACCTACTGTCATAATCATTGACAAATCCACCCGCACTGAGACATTGCATGAGACCTACTGCTTTGATAGAGTGAGCCTCCTTAGCTTAAGGCAAGACACTGGTTCTAAAATCGACTTTTTTGTTTATTAATGGATTATAATGAAAATCAGTGTGTATATGTGTTTTGGCTTCCTCTTTTCAAATATCCAATTAGTTCTGCAATATCTTAATTACTTTTTGAGTTACGAAGAAAATAATGAAGCCTAATTAGGTCATTTCTTACGACTCGTTAAGGAACTTTCTAATACAAATTTTTTTTTTGCATAAGTGATATGGATTTGTAGCTAAAGACCTGTCATGCAAGATGATGCTATTTATATTTTTGTAAAGATAGATCATTGTATAAAACTAGTCTAATTAGGTCAAGTACACTATTTACAAAGCCTAACGAGGTCACATTATCACTAATAATAAAATTTCGGGCCGATACTGTCACACAAAAATAGCATCACCCTGCAGTTCACTTCTTTCTGAATTCAACGGTATAAAGTTTATAAAAATCCTTGAAGAATAATCTCATGAAAACAACCGTAAGGCTAGGCATGTAGACGAAAAATGCGAAGCTGAGAAAATTGCAGTTGAAGTTTTGACACTCATTGCATAAAATTGAGTAAGGGATCCCATGCAATAATGTTCAGCAATATGAAGCATAGTTCTATCTGAACAAATTGAGATGAGAAATTCTGCAATCCGTTCACAAGAACCTTTAAAAAATAATATAAAACTGAGAAATAATGTCTGCAATGTAAAATAAAGTTATAAAAGAATGAGTAGACTCTATAAGGGACAACGGGAAGAAGCACCAAGGAAGTTCCACGTTCCGAAAGCAGATATTGTTTGGCCCTCAAAAAGGGCCTTTGTTCGTGTAGCACTTGAAAGGGGAGCCCCTCACAGCTGTCCAGGACTGTAGTCCCCAGCTGTTCCAGTTTGGTGTTGCCTGGAGAACCTCTGCTTTGCATTGCTGCTGCTCTGGTGGGCAGCGTTGGCCTTACGCAAACGCAGATTGTCCTTCTCCATGCTTTGAAAGCTTTCATGTCCACTACAATGAACTGTGTCCCAGCGTCGCGCGTCTGGCCTCCTGTGGTGACGCCGAGGTCGAATTTGCGCTGGGTCGCCGACTTTTCCGATAGCGCACGCTTGCATTCGTCCGATCGTGCGACTCGTTGCGCCTGCTCGGCTGTGGAGTAGTATGCGGTGTCGACACGAACCGCGCTCGCAAAGCTCGACAAACTGCCGCTGCTGCATGGAGTCGCAATGTCTCCGGCTGATGTTTCCGGAAGATCCAAGGCATCCGGCGGTGCCGATCGCGGTGGCGCACTTGCAGCAGACAGCTTCGGCTTCTTGTTCCACGGTCGCTTCCTCTTCCTTCCGAACGCTTGCCGCGTGCTCGATTTCAACCGAGCGTCGTCCGGCATCTCGAGAACTCGAAGCGAAACAAAACAAAACACTCGCGACTTCGTAGGAAAACGAACCAACAATATTCAACGCAAGCGCAAAAACGGGAACTAAAACGTGTGCTCGACCACGGAGGAAACAAAGCAGACAGGCCTAAGGAGACGGGCGGAGACGGGCCCAGGAGCAGACGACGCACCCAACGCACCTCTCGCCAGCGCGGGAACGGAAAGGAGGGAAGGAGAAAAAGAGCGGAGGGGCGCGTTTAGGCCAATAGCAGGGGCACTAGGCGCCGCGCGTGCTCTTACGTACGGGCACCTTGCTAGCCGGCCAATGAGCGATCGCAATTGGGGCCTTCGAAACCCGCGGAATGCGGACGTTCCCTGATGTTGTCGCGATAATGAATGGCATGGGGACGTGGGGAAAATAAGCGGCTTTCCAACAAGACCAAGATGGCCGCGATCCGACGAGCGATCGCGAAACGCGCGGGGCGCGAAGTTCCACTTGTTTTTATTGAACTCGTTGTGTTAGGGCTCTGCGGGGACATTGTAAATATCATTTTTTTCATGCTTAGACATTGAATTCGACATTGAAACTTTGCAGGCAGGTACCTTAGACTACAATTAATCCAAATATGTGAATTTCGAAAAACGTGAAATTTCGCGTTTTTTGACCATTTTAAAGGGGCACTGACACCCCAAAGGTCGTATTTATTTTTATTGTCTAAAACGATGCAAGTTGCAGTCATAGACACGCAAAAAAAAACCGCATCGCGAAAAAAATTTTCCCGCGCGCGCGCGCCTTTTTATTTTTGGCGTTTGATTTTCCCGCCTCTCGCCTCCTCGCTTCTTTTGATCGGTGACGTCAAAAATCAGGAAATTTAGAAGCTTTGTAGGCGACATCTCTATAACATTTAATGACGGCAATCGTAAAACATGTTTTTTAACGCAATTGCGAACGCACTACGGCCCTTCTTTTTGAAATACCAAAAATCGGGAGTTGGTTGTGGTGCCGTCTCCTGGATTTGTATCCTCCAACGGAAAACAGGCGACACCGCTCAAAACCGGTCCGCCGCAACGCCGCCGCGGCCGCCGCTCACTCCTTTCCTCCTCGCTTTGGGTCGCCATGGCAACAGCAGGGAGTGGTGAAAGAAAGTCGACTCTCAGGTCGCCGCGATTTTTGACGTCAAGGCACCAGCGCCGATCGCGCGGGAACTTCGAATTCGGCATTTGGAAATTGTTTTTTTACTTCACAAATACTGAATTCCCAAATTTCAAATTTTGAGGGTAATGTCCCGGCATCGTTATCAAACGTTTCGGATAATAAAAAAAAATATGATTTTGATGTGTCAGTGCCCCTTTAAGACCCGCGTCTCCCCTTAAGTACTACTTAGTTTGCTCATCAGTAATTACGACATAATCCTTGATTGTGTATGTGCACTTTGAGATCCTTTTTATAATGTACATGAAAGGATACAAAAAAAGGTGTTAAAAAAAAAAGAAACAGCCGCAACATTTGTTTAATTAATTTAGGCCACTGCAGTCATGAAGAAAATGCTTCTGCTTAAAACTACTGCGTAACATTTACTCAAACAAAATTAGACAAAACTGCATTTGCATTCACATTATTTGAGCTCAGATCAGATTAAAAACAGAGGATTAAACAAAATGGTTCTTCCACATACAGTCGTGAAGTGGACCTCATATTGCTTCAATACCTTTGAATTATTCTTGCCTTTTTTAACGCTTCTTGACAGTAGTTTTCTTTTATATGTGTGCCCACACTTAGAATTTATTTTGCTACAAGAACCACACATGCAATAATTAATTATTAAACAATTAAATACTAAAAGTATGCAATAAGATATACTCATTTGATGCTCGCTGCTTCCAGTAAACCGAACCACCACTCATTTAAACACCATTTGCACACACTGCTGGAAGCCCTTCTTTAAGTGATATGAAAATATCTGTGCACATAATTTGGGCTAGAAACAAGACAGACATATTATGACAACTCAGGTCAACCCGACTTAGACTAGAAAGGCCCGTGCACTTCACACCACCACCCTACCACCGAGTGCAAAAATGCACTGGACACGAGAGCTGTGTCGGTGTTCGGCTGGGACCCTTCTTCAATCAACGAGCCAAAAAACGCTCGGTGCGTTCCTAGTGCAAAACATTTTGCAAAGGGAGGAGGAAATTAACAAGATTTGATTAGTCTAGATCAGTGATTCTCAATCATTGATGTTTCGCGGAACCCTTGTAAATCGGCGGAGATGGTGGAGGACCCTGTTCGTGGTGAGGGGAAGGAAAAGGTATTGGTTAATTATAATAATGATTTAATAAATGGATAAAACTAAGGGCTAGTCTCAACTAGAGTTCTCTCATTGACATACACACGAGAAAACTCACCCGAAAATTGGAAAGTTTCTTCTCAATCTGAAAACAAAATACAACTGTTCTTGCCGGGCCTGACTGATGAGACGGCTTCGCGGACCCCTAGAATGCCTTCGCAGACCCTGATTTGAGAACCGTCAGCCTAGGTCATGGGTTTTCAAACATTTTTTATCGTGAGAAATGCCCATCTGCCTAGAATGACAGTTAAGGAACCCTTGCCCCTCTTGGCATTGTTACCATTTCCACAGTACATTTGCCTACAGATATCGTAAAAATTTATGCACACACCAGAGCATCTTGGGCTCTTAGCTGTGCACCAGTGCAAAACTCAAACATGCTTCACCCATTTCGGTGGGGGGTCAAAGGGTCAAGCGTATTTTTTGATTTGACACTTTTGAAAGTGCCCTCCTAAATATGAAACCGCATGCACTGCGGGAGGTTTTGCTATTTGTAATGTCTTTGGCAAACTATAAACGTTATATAGTGCAATCCACTTCTAACGATACCACATATAATGATCAGTTTCTAGAGGACCATGCATTTTTGCGTGGGGTATCCAGTCCAGATACAATAATAATCAACTAGTATAATGATTGCATTTTACGGTTTTCTCATCATTACATTGCACTGTATACACACACATCATGTTCTGCTTTGCTGGGGCTATTTATAGTTTCAAAATTATAAGATCTGCACGTGTGACCAGTTCGATATGATCGGCGGTAGAGTGCCCGCTCTTCCCATTCAGACTTTTAACGCTTCTTAGAATTTAATTCAAAGGATAAAAGCTTACCATCTAATTAAGAAGCCCTGTAAAGTACCTTCGGTTCGGATTCTGAAACCGCCTGAATGTCGCAGAAGCGGACACACCAAAATGAAGCAGAATGGGGTAAAGGTGACAACTTTTCATCCCCAATATTTCATTTCATGCTTCTAAACCTGAACAGCTTGCACACATTGTGCATGCTCCCACTAGATAGTTAAAAAAAGAAAGAAACACCTGTACATCGACTTTTTCTTTATAGGTCGGGTTTTGTTTCCTTTGGAAACAAAACCCGACCACTGGGAAACATATTTTGGGGAAAAAACTTGACCGTCAGAGTTACATACTGCCATAATTGGAACACACTTTACACTTTGGGTCGGGACGATCAAGAGAACATAGGTGCTCGGGGAACCCCAGAGGGCACTCTGGGGAATCCATGGGTTCCTGAAAGCCCAGTAAAAGAACCCATGGTCTAGGTGCAGTTGCCCAAGAACACCAAGGCCCCTCAATGCCACAGAGGTGGCAAAGTGCACCTTTCTCACACGCACGTGGTAAACCGGGAGATCTAGCACATACCTCTCGTCCCGTCCATAGCGGCCACCGTAGCTGTCGCGTGGCGGTCCACCGGGGGGTCCACCCCGGCCAAAGTCGTCTCGGCCGTAGGGGGCCGGAGGGGGGTGGGCATCACGACCGTAACGCGACTCCTCCCTCCCGAAGCGGCGATCGGGTGGTGGAAATCCGTCGTCTCCGCGGCGGGGAGGAGATCGGTCAAAGGGCTTGCCCATGGGCGACCTGTCCAAGGGCACCAGGCATCAACGTTCTGACGCAGCTCATATACACACCCGCCGCGCATCGAGATTAATATTGCATCAATGTTCTACAGCCAGGAGTGACGACGGCAGAGCAACTTGACACATTAAGTCAGGCCAGACACGCAACTTGCCACAATTACTACAACAAACAATTTTCGAGGCTAGCAGCCGCTCCCCGCAAAGCGTCTTTGGACAAACTGTTACAGCCTCATTCCTTACAAGATGAAACCTCTTCTTAGTAAAGTCGATTTACTGCATACATCTTTTTTGTCAAATAAGTACCTCAGGAACGGGTACCAGCCTTACAAGCTTGCCACAAGTTTTCTTTAGAACAAAGTCAAATTGTGCCAAGCTTGCAATGCAATGAAAAACACTTTAAACATTGATGTAAAAAAAATAAATATTGTGGGTGCAATGTTTTTACAATTGACGGGCCTGTTGTACCAGCACGAAATCTTTAAAGAAACACCAAGAGTTGTCACAAAAGGCCAAGCGCACCTGTCATCCCGCTTAAATTCTCGCTCGTCAAAGTCCCGTCGAATCGGGGAGCGCTCCCTTCCCATGCTCATGGCTGGTCGCCGATCTGGGTGATCCTGGTGATAGTCTCTGCTGGAATACGCAAAGCATGAGCCACCAGATGTCAAGGCACAACTCGGCAGGATCAAGACTTTTGGAAATGGGCTGATGGCAATAGTTCAACAAATCATCAAAAAGGTTCCCCTACAAGGGGCTAAACACCCTAACAAACTCTGAAAACAAAAGGTTAGAACAAGACAGAAAACATGAAATTTTATCATTTTACTTGTAAGGCAAGTCTTTATCTAAAATCAACTTTGAGCTTGGATCATATCCTTCACCCTTTAAATGACAATGACAGGTTTTATTTGCAGGGCAACAAATTTGGCGGTTTTCCCATTAAATTTAGCAGTTTTCAAATGATGTTAGCATTCTTTCTGGAGGTCTGAAATGTTTTAGTTTATATTTATCAGACATAAGTAGCTTAATTTATGCGAGTCACAAGTGTCGTCAGCTTTGCTTACTCAGCAAAATTGTGGTCAGTGAACGTAATGGTTGCTACGCCATTGAGATATTACGGTGGAAAACATTGAAATATGCTGTGAATTGATTGATTGATTCGTGCTCAAAACAAAAGCAGTTTTTCAGGTCAGCCAAACGAAACGGGCCCAGCGAAGTATGCATAAAATTTTAAAAAAAGGGGGCTATATTTGATCATAAAATTTGTGACTGGTTACACAAGTGCCAAGCGACATCACACAACTCAGATACCACTCCTGCAAAACAATTTTCAGCGAAGCATATAACATCCTAACTGAAACTTGTACTGAGTAACAGCAAATGTTGCACAAAAGATCGGAACAATCAAAGTGTAAATGTCATTATCTGCACATACGATGGCTTCAAGTTAAACAGCCACCACTGATCCCTATTTTTCGCCGTTCCGCCGTTCTCGGTCACCACATACTTCTGCGCCAAACTTTTTTTTCTCTCGTCAACTATGCATATTTTTTCACTAGATGGCGCAGTACTTTCAATCTTCAAGACTGTTGCCAGACTACTAAATTTTAAAAAATGTGGTAAAACCGAGACAAACAAAAAATTATTACGTGGTATGTTGCCTGTAGGCAACATTTGTCAATAAAAGGTTAAAGTGGAATTAGAGCCAAGGAGATTGTGAGACCATCTTGGCTCTGAATGCACCTCAGCTGTGCAAGCAAGAGGATATGCCAGAGCCATAAGCGTACACCTAACTTCAGTTTCACTAGCAAACTTTGAACAAAAGAGTATAATGTGCTCCCAATGCACGAGCACACAATAAGTGGGATCTTCATTTAGAGTTGGTACTTAATGCTATCACTGACATGCTAAACAAAACAAAGATCGACTAAGAGTTTTACAACAAAGAAGGGGTTAAAGAAACCAGGATGCGATATTTGGGTTTAGCAAATACTGTTTCAAAAACAAACTGAACTGAACCAAGGAGCAAGTCTTGTCAATATCGTTGGCTAATGCCGACACCCCCAACTTGTCAGCAAAGTGAATGGCAATGTCAAATCTCAATTAGAAATTATCGATATAAAGCTAGTGGGAAAAAGCTTCTTTTACACAGCTACTGCACTGTTCAAAAAAAGAAATAACCTGTAAGACTCATTACGTGGTTCTTATAACTGCCCAACCAGTTTGATGTATGCAGACAGACAGACTGCAGGACTCCTACAACACTATTCCCAAACCCCCATTGTTAAAAAAAAAAAAAAAAAAAAAACATGTTTCAGACCTACTTTGAAGACCCACGCTCTTGCCCTTTCTTGGGCCTGCTAGAATTGGAAGGTAAGAAAAAAAAAAAAAAAGCAGATCAGGCACCTAACATAATGCTATCACAGACCTCCAGCAGCCAAAAGTAAACATTACAATATATGCCAAAAATAAGATAGTCTCACCTTTCTCGTTCCCTTGAATTCGCCCGAAGAGGACGCCTAGACTCTTGTGCACTGCAAACTTTCAGCTCTGCAACAACAGACTGAGTGTCACGGTAGCACACACAGGTATAACTAAAGCCCACTGCAACCGGCTAAGAAAAGGAACCATTTTTTCATGCAGAATGCGTTTTAGGGTTGGTTTTTAAGTATAGAGCGTTACGAAAACATGATAACATGGAGGGAAATTACACAAACTAAATTTAGTGGGAAGCTTTCCCATTAAATTTAGTGCAGTTTATGTATGTCTTAATGTCCAGAAATTTTTCACACCAATTTTAGCAGAAAAAACTTGCCACTAAATTCTCGTATTGCGACATCATGATGCGACGCAGGATGTCCCGGCATCACATGCTAGCAACCACATGACCCACAGTAGCACCAACCCCAAAAGCCAAATGAGCTAAACAAATCCAAACAGCAGAGCAACAGCAACTCACGTAAGAGGCAGCCCTTGAAGAAGATGCCTCCCTCGCCCTTGACAGCTGCCTGAGCTTCCTCCTCCTCTCTGAACTGGACAAAGCCAAAGCCTCCCTTGTGCAGCGAGATGCCTGATGGGGACAGCAAGCCACAACAAAGTGAGAACTAGACAACAGAGAGTACAATGCCCATAACTGGCCCCTCGCAAGTTCGGATGCAATTGTGTAAACTCAGGCAGGTTTTGATGCCTATGGCTCAACATGCCACCTGCCCGGTTTTGGACCGGCATGGCCAGTTTTCTGGATAGCAGGCTGGTACAGGTGCAGATCCAAGGGAGGGGGGGCGACGGGGGCGGCCGCCCCCCACCAAACAAAGTCGACCCCCCCCCCCCCCCCCCCCCCTTTCCCAAGATAAGACCAACTACCGGCCTGCCAGGTGGTAGAAGGCTCGGTACTCAAGGACGCGGGTTCAAAATAGGGTAGGTCGCACCCTAGCAGGCACACTTGTTCTCTGAACTTGGAGAACCACTCCGTCGCTTCAACCGAGACTGAAGTCTGCGGCGGCGGTTTCAAAGCACGGCTTGGAGCCAATAGGTAGGCGCAGCGGTGCACATCTAGGGGCTGTTGGCGCAGTGTGGTTCTGTGACGGCTAAAACGAAAGGCGCAAGCCTAAGTCCTGTTTACCTTACTTTAGATTCCCCCCTACCCAAATTTCCCGCCCGCCCCCGCCGCCCCCGCCGCCCCCCCCCTCCCAAAACTGAGTTCTGGATCTGCACCTGGGCTGGTGCCGGTCCATAGCTAAGACTGACCATAAATTGCTGTTACGTTTCAACTATCCAAGTGCAATTTTTTTTCGGACATTCTTAATTGCATTTTATACCGTCAACGCAACAACTACCACAAACAATGCTTGTCGACGGCAAAAAATAAATGGAAAAAGAATACCGCAATGTATGCTAAAAATCCACTGAGGATTCGCCAAGTAGAGAAAGTGTGTGGGCAAGCGGCAACGTTGTTCTAAGTCAGATTAGAAAAAAAAAAAATGGATCACACAACTTGACAGTTGAAAGAACCATGGAGTGGGTGCAGGAGCAAATGGGATAACGAGGGAAATAGGAAACAGAAGGAAGGTGGAGCCCACGGGGGTGCGGGGAATACAGGACTGCCCTGCCCTGCCCTCCCACTAGCTGTGCCTTCTGCGACGTGTTGGTTTGAAGACGTAACAGTTGTTGGCGTCTTGACAAAAACAGACACGGTGTTATCGCCCATCCACCGAGGGGGGCACAAAACATTGCAGCGAAAAGGATGCGTCCTGCTCTCTCGCGGGTCATGAGCAATGCAGCCTGCAGCATAAGTGCGGAGGCCACCTGGCAGTCTTTGTGCAGCTTGTGCACACACTACTCTTTTTTTTTTTTTTGGCGGTTAAACGTTTGGCAGAGGGCTTAAAGGGATACTACAACGAAATTTCGGCGCTCATTTTTTGGTCTATATGTGTTCAAAGGAGCAGCATCACATTGAACATGCCAATATCTTGTTAAAAAAGTCACGAAAAGGAATTTTAAAACGAATTAAATGATTAGCAAAGAGCACCTGGTGGATGTCGCTAACGCCTTGGTTGTAATGCCCGTCTAGCTAGTGACGGAGGTTGTCTCGCCTCCGGCCACGATGAGAGAAGAGGGGCAGGAGGAACTCCCCTCTTCCCGATAATGCCTTTTGTGTGTTGCAGAAGTCGCTATTGTCCCCCTACAAGATTACAGAAGATTAACCCGTCACTCAAAATTCGTACAAAAGCAGCCGCTTCGGTGGCTGGAACAACTAGGCTATCCTCTCGACGTCAGCCTCGCCGTAGCTGTGCTCGTCCTGAGACAACCTACGTCACGATTGCGTTGGATGTCACGTGGTCTCCGCTGGGCCTTCTCCGAGCGCTTGCCAGAGTGGGCCGTTTATAACGAAAAATACAGCCACCTGGCTCAAAATACAAACGTGCGATTGTCATTTACGATTATTGTGGATCATATTCAACCTATTTTTGAACATGACGGGAATATTTCAAATTTCGTTGAAGTATCCCCTTAAAGGGGTACACCAGCGATTTTTTTAGCTACCTCAACTAACTATATTTTCTGACCCTCCGGCTTTTACCCTTTCCATTATGCTATTTAGTATCGCGAAATTCATAGTAGTTATTGCGAAATCGGCAAATGAAAATTATGCGAAAACCAACATTCAAATATACCCGCACTTTTCAGTGCCGTGACGTCAGTGGTGGGCAGGCTTGCCAGTCGAGCGAGCAGTCTAAAGAATAGAATATGCCAATCATTTGTTCCGTGCTAGAGCGCAGGGACTGGAGCAAGCTTCCAAAGCATTCATTTGACACCATGAAACTGCTTCGAATCAGTTGGGAACAAATTCTACAGTCCAAGGAGTGAACCCCTGCACTTCCACTGACGTCACTTTTTCGTTGTTGCCAGTAGAGACTTTCAGTTTGAAAAACACGGTGAGGACCAAAATTGTAAATTCAATAACTTTGTGAAAAAAAATTATTTTGACCTAATATTTGAGATACTATTTTGACGATGATGTTTGGCGAGTTCAGCAAAATTTCAAGCAAATCGGGGACCATGAAGAAATCGCCGGAGTACCCCTTTAAAGGGGCGGTGCAACGATTTTCGGACTTCGGTCAAAGATTTCTGGAAGTTGCCCTCTGACACTTCTGAAGTAAAGAACAGAAAACCGATTTCGCCTGCGTGTCCTAGTTGTTGCGTAAAAAAAAGATAAAGATTGGCAATTCGGGCACCCCTCAACTCACTCCCAGTCTTCAGGGTCACACCTGGTCGCACTCCCAGTGACGTCATTCGGAGTGCCGTGTAGCTTCCCGTGTGCTATCTCGGAGGACGCTTCCCGTCCCTCTCTCTGCGTACATTAGCGGGCGCTATGCTGCAGCTTAGAGCCGAGCGAGGTCACGTAATCTTTCCGCCGTAGTTCCTTCGGCTGCCACTTGGGGCTGCAGGTGGGGGAAAAAGCTCGACTTTTGCTTTGCGATTATGCAGCGGAATCGCAACATTTTTAATGAAGGAAGTGTTTTCTCTATCCTCTGGGACACGATAAACAACGTAAAAATGACGAGATGCAAAGTATTTTAATCATAAAATTGTTGCACCGCCCCTTTAACGCTTTCCCCACCATGGACGACCTGAGTTCCTCCACACTGTTTGTACCGCTCCCCCCGAAGACGGGCTGGGCTCGTCTACGTTGATTCGGGCTCCAAATTTCTACCATGGACGAACTGGGCTAGTCCACGTGTTTCCAGTGAGCTTTGCCGTGGATAGATGGCGCTTCACAGAAAATAAAAACCTGGTAAATTTCTGAATTTGGCAGAAAATTGTTCCAACGCAGGCAACAGGGGATTTAAAAATGCCGACGTCAACTTCTGGTCGCTGCGTTCATAGTGACGATCTTTCCTCAAAATGGGGGCGAAAAGGAAGATACTGTGACGTCTCTTCAGATTCAGAAGACGAGGAAATGAATCTTTCATCGAACAGCGAGAGCAATGCAACTGAGTTATTGGATTTGAGCTTAGGCGACTCCGATTTCGAAGAGGTCATTGTGTCGGTGTGTCGGCATGGACTAGAATCAGTGTAAAAAATCCCCCTCCAGCCCCTCCACGTTTTGCGTTCGCTTTGCGTGCAATGTGATGTGAACTGTCTGCAGTACTGCTATGCCCGGCCTGAACGTCCATGTGCAAGGTGATGTAACTGTCTGCGGTAATGCAGTGAAGCGGAACTTCAGTCCCTTTTTCTTTTGCAGTGTGTTCAAAGATTTCTCATATAATAAATATTTTGGCATTTGTTTTTGGCCTTTGTATTGCATATTAAATTTATAGGGCACATAAAAAAATTCAGTATTTTCGCATTGTTTGTTTTCAAAATTTTTGCGGTAGGCAAAGGGTTAAATGGCATGGCGTGTTCACCCCTAAGCTGACAAAGCAGTGGGAGCTATGCGCTCGCCGGACCAATCGACCGCCCGCCCCCTTTCATCATCTAATCCTGCTCTCTGTGCATGGGTATGGGTCGGAGCATGATCAAAATAAATGCGTGACTGGTCAAACAAGCACATAGCTTCCATTGCACTGCAAGCTTAGGGGTGGATGGAGTCCAGATCTCTCTATAAAGCAGCGACATTGTTTGGGCCATGGTTCCAAAAGGGGGGGGGGAATTCTAGCTTTTGCCCCAATGCCCAAGGCACGCAACGACACATCTTGAGAGCAGGTCCAATGCTGCCTTCCTTCCCATTGTGCCCCCTGCCAGTTTGGAAAAACCAGAGAAGGGTCTATAGGAAAGTGCGGAAGCTGCGCGCCCTGTTTCTTCTGGCCTCCCTCGTAGAGAGCCTTGTCTGAATAACACAGGGCAAAGGAATGGTAGAACCCTGCAAGGTCAAGGTGAGATCTTGGGCGGTGCGGTTGTAGCGGCGGGCGGTAAAGGAATACTAGTCGGCTCCTTTGCTTTCCCCACATGTGCTCTGCTCTAGCAGAATCTCACTTCCTGCCTGCTCTCGCCTTCCCTCTCCTCTCCTCACCCCCCAAAAAAAACTAAGCTGGATTTGGGAGGTCTCTGTGCAGTATCTCATTCTACTGAAGACTTCAAAGCCATTGGTGCATTGCAGAGGTCCCTTCCAATGCGAGTCACACTGTATTTCAAGCGCTCTCTTTCATTTGATCAAACACATGCAAGAAGCCAAGTAACTCACACACCACATTTGGGCACTCTGAATCCTACAGCTATTTCATTAAACCTTTGACGGTTTAGTTTTTCCCCCAAAACAATGTTTCCTAGTGGTCAGGTTTTGTTTCCGAATATATATATATATATATAAAAAGGTCAAAGCACAGTTCTTTAATTATCTAGAGGGAGCACTTACAGTGCTTGCAAGCTGTTTAGGTTTAGACGCATTAAATGAAAATGCTGAAGGCAAAAAGTCGTCGCCTTTCTTCCATTTGGTTTCATTTTGGCACATTCGGTTCAGCGACATTCCAGCGGCTTCAGATTCCTAACCGGAAGTACTTTACAGAGCTTCTCCATTGGATGATGAGCTCTCATCCTCTGAATTAAATTGCTAAAATCGTTGGACGTCTGAATCTGAAGAGCTACTGCTCCCATTGACATTAATTGACATTACCACCAGAGCAGCCGGCAAGCAAAGTGAGCATCACGTGCGCGGAGCGTCTAATTTGAGAACTATAAATAGCCCAGCAAAGCTAAATACCGTGCAAATCTAACGTTTATATTTCGCCAAAAACACAACAAAAAGCTACACCTCGCGCAGTGCACGCAGTTTCGCACCAAGGGGGAAAATTTCAAATATGTAATCCTGCCGTACATGTACGGCGACGACCATCAAAGGGTTAACTGAATTTTGACTTCTTTAGCTTGGTCTATATTGTGACAATTTTTTCTTGCTATCAGTAGTTTAATTTGAAACCTGCCTTCTCATTTAGATAATTGGGTAAGTGTAAAGATGACCTCTTGGTAGACCTTCCTTTTGGTATTTCTTGTTGTATTATATGCTGTATTATAGTTTGCTTGGCCTGCACTAACACACTTGTGTAAAAAAAAATGGTAGCAACCTTTACCATCAAAGTCCTATAGTGCATGAATTGCAGTATTCAAGTTGCAATTGCTTAAAATTAGTTAGAAGACACAAGTATGAGCATTCTCCAGCTAGGCCCCCAATTACCCTTATTTCGCATCAAACCGTCAATTCGAGAGTGAAGAACCCACATGTGAATCAATTTCCCCCGTACATTGGGCGAAGACTTGCGAAGTCCACATGACGTCAATTTCCCCATGAAATTTAATGGGTAAATTAAATTGGTGTATAACATAGCTGAATGTGCTGCGCTGCGAAGTTCACAGAACAAACGCGTGACCAGAAAATGAAAAGAAGACAATGAGTTACATTGAGATGAGGAGAAACACAACGTACATGAATGGGTGCAGACTAACAACTGTTTATTCTTTTCTTTTTTCTCCTTTTCATGCGACGTTAATTTTTCCCATAACAGATCTAAAACAGCAGATTTTGTTATATGACCACCTAGGGAGACAAAACCTTTCACAGGCATACAACTTATTTTTTTTAGTTATAGATGCATCTTAAAGTAATTAAGATTTGTGTCACAGCGACTTCTTTTGTCGTCGGCTTCATTGGCACGACTTGCAAGATCTTCATTTCGTCCAGGTTCTTCCAGAGAGGTTTCGGACACCTCTGAAGAGTGGGTAGAAGCCTGGATTTCAGATTGTAACTTGGTCCATATTTTAGGAACATGAAACGCAATTATGTTTGGCCAAATCTCAGTCAAGAGCAAGGCAGGGCTCAAGTCAGTAGATTAAATCTACACCTAAGAAAATGTTTAATTGGCATTCATGACTCCGAGCATCCCCTCCCCTTTACTGCTTAATAATATAACATGTTCGCTTTATGACATCTTTTGCCAGAAATGGTAGCGATCACATTAACAGGAGTCGACTGCAATAAAAAATTACAACTTACACATGCTTCATATGAACATGCATGATCAGCATTCAGAATGACCCTGCCGTTCCATGCAAAGGAAGGCACAATAATTAATGCAGTGAAGACTGCATTTCTTTGAAAACAATGAAAGCAGCAGATGAATTATCACGAAGCAGACTACTTAAGAGAAAACATTTGGCTCTGCAATGAGGACTCTACCAGAGATCGAAGGAGCATTTAGTCAGGCTGGGCCAAGGTTTCAGGAAGTGAGTCGAACCATGTCGGGAAGGCCCACTGTCAGGACAAGAACAGCAAGGCATCTCTACTTGATGGCCGGCCTCCAGCATGTGCTCACTGCCTTTCTCCATGCTTGGGTTGCGTGTGCACACTCTAGGTTCACGAGATTCCCAAGCCTTATTAAAGGTAGGAAGCTAATTAAAGCTCTACCCTGCAGTTCTCATCCTGTCAGCAACTAGGGAATTCTTCCTACATTGTAAACATGGCTCACTGCCCTGCACCTATGTCTCTCTCAAGCCTCGTTTGTGTACTAGGGAGGAGGTGCACTTAGGGGGCTTCTCAGACGCACCTTGTATTGTTCCGTACTTTATGAAGAGCTTTTCCAAGTCCTCGCGCAAAATGTGCTTTTTGAGATTGCCGACGTAGATCCGCGACGATGCCCTGGCTGGATCAGAGGTGTCGCTGCCCAGGTTTGAGTCCATAGAGTTCCCCTGCAAAAACCAGATGACATCCAACTCCTCCCATGCTGCCCCTGCCTTGCTACCCCGGGCAAGGTGCCGCACAAGGCAATAGACCACCAGTGTGGTATCCGGCTCTTTTAAGCCACTGGAGCTGTGACTTCAATATCCATGCGCACAACCCTGTTGCAAGAGTTGAGGCATTAAACCTGGATTCTGTTTCTGGCTGTTGCAGAGTTGTTGTAGGAATGCATTGTATGGCAGCACAGGGGTGCACAAAACAAGGATCTCGAGCAGACGTTGTCGGGCTACTAAACCCAAAGGCTTGATCAGAAGCGCAGCAAGTGGGGACAGTTTACAGTGCCCGTGTGCTGATTAACATGCCAACCGACTCGGCGTCGTGTATCTACACCTCTCACAAAGTGAACTGCACCCAAAATAGAACTTCATTACCTGTCCTGCTTAACCAAGCACTGGCTGTTCTTTTAATGTGCAAAGGAGGTAGAACACACTTAGCTATTGGCAATCATTCTATTGCCATTTCAATAAATAAAGAAAAAATATCATGCGCTGCATGAAACGCTCATCATGCTTCCCAACTTCGAAACGAATTCGGATTGCACAGGGGTTGTCCAAATATAGTAAACCAAATCTCGCAACACCAAATCACTGCATGGGCACTATGCAGAAGCAGCATGAGATTGCAAGCTGATGAGGGTCAATGTCCACAACGTCAAATTTAACCCAGTTTGAAATGGCAGCATTGGTGAGACCAGTGGTTGAAATTATTGCGCAAAGTCTCCAATTGGGAGGCAGCAAGTAAACAAAATCGTGCTGCGCGTTTCTAGACCAAAAATTTACATAGCGTCCCGCGAGTTGGATACTGAGAATATCATTGACTACAGTAAAAAAATATATATATAGTTATAAAAACTATTAGAATGTATCCTCAAGCAGTGAATCAAATGTGGTGTGCTACCAAGCGTGAAAAATAAGGATCTAGACAGCTTTAGCTTCACTTATTAAGAGTCCGTGCATGTGCATACGAGTAGGACTACTCAGTCATTCCGGCGTTCGGCAGCGCTAAAACGGGAGTTATTTTATTATTGTTTTAACACAAGTTAGACTAGTAGTTTAGAATGACGAAATGAAGCGCCCAATGTAAAATGTTGGAGGACTGCGGCGGCGTTTTGGTCTAGGGCTACGTTTCAAAACGTCCAGACCGGCGACCATTGACGATCGCGAGCAATAGGATCATCAGCCTTGTTTTATTTCTGGTGCTACCACAGTACCTGTAAACTTAAGAGGCTGGCGGGTTTGTTTGGCTTACCTGAGGCAAAATTAGCGGTTACAGTTCTTTACACTGAACCAATTCGCACTCACACGACAGAGCGGCCATTAAATATGTGGCGTGCAAGAGCCACCAGAGCCACGGCGAGAGCGAGAGCAACAAAGGAGAGAAGAAAACGAAGAAAAGGCACGTGATCCACCTAGCGGGGAAGTTGGGGGTTTCAAGTTGTTTGAGCACTAATTAAACATGAGGAACAGTAATTAAACATGAGGAAGATACATAGAAAGGGGGACGGACAACGTTATTGACCGTCCCCCCTTCGTTGTCCGTCCCCCCTTTCTTATGTATCTTCCTCATGTTTAATTTCTTTTATCTCAGCTCTGTGTGTGTCCTGTACTGTCTGTGTTCCAAGTTGAGGGACTGGGCAAGTTCGAGCCAATCAGAATGCACATCGTTCTGTTAAATTGAGGCAGTGGCGGCAGTCAGTCAGAGCCCAGACCCTCAACCTTGGCTGTAGAGTTCCGGGTAGCGGAGGGGCTTAGCGGAGGGGGAAACACGGTCTACTAAAGCCCGCTAATAAAAATAAAACGTCCGTCGGGCGTCCCAGAGCGGCGTTGGCAGGGATCACGTCGCCCCCACCCCCCCAATCCGCACACAGATCTCACTCGTCCGACAGATTTTTTTTTTTTTTTAAACGGGCGGTTTAGCTGTTGGAGTGACATTTCGCGCGCGGTATCGCCGCACAAGCTAATTGTGCAATCACAGCTTGATTCCCTCGATTAGTGCGGACATCGTATCGTTTTCGGTTCCATCCACTGGTTCCATCAAATTTATTTTGTGTTCCCCTGCGTACTGCTCGACCTGTTTTGCGTTTCAGTTGACCGCGCCTGCTGCAAACGCAGTCGACAACGTCAAGGACAGGCTATAGCCCCATCGGCCGGCAACAGACACGCCCAAGGGGGCAGAAACAAATTTGCAAGTGATCAAGTTTGCAGGTTTACGCAATCTGGGGGGCTATGTCGGCTATGTTGCGCTTTTTGCACTCCCAGGAGACTAGGGAGAGGGAAGTGACGTCAACGACACAGCAAACGCAGATTGGGTGTTGATTTCGTTTTCTTCTGTCAACATCCAATCTGCGTTTGCTGTGTCGTTGACGTCACTTCCCTCTTCCAAGTCTCCTGGGAGTGCAAAAAGCGCAACATAGCACCCCTGTACGCCAAGCAAATATGTTCTCGGAGGCAGAGCTGGCAAAGCTTTCAGTCGCCACCGCCGCCACCGCCGCCACCGCTGCGCAAGCATCATCATCATCATTTGCGCGCGCTGCGCGAGAATGGCGGGAAACAACTCTGTTTTTGTTGCCGAATAAACAGACGAAAACACGGACAAGCCTCATGGCTGCAGAAAGTAAGCACGGTTTTGTTAATGTTCTCTTTGATCACGGTGGGTATCACATTTTAGGTTGAGGCTGAAAATTTCCAGCATTCGCAGAGGTTGACCATCGCAAGAAAAGGCGAGGATCTTGGAGAATCGTAGAAAGGGGCGATATGGCTGGTCTACCGAGAACGACAGCGTGTCGTCATCGTCGCGTTCGTCGGGCGGTAGCGAACACAGTTTGCTGGAGCCGCTGGAACCGTGAGATGTGATGAGCTCGGCTCAATCTCCGGATGGCTCTTCGGTAGGGAGGCCCGCTGTGGTTCTTCTGAATCAGTTGCAGAAGCATCGCACGTCTCGTATGCTTGCTTATTAATGTCCCAGTTTATAATATTTTCTGTTTGGACGTTCTGCGCAAGCTAATCTGGTTTTAGTATGCTTCACTGAAAAAGGAGAAAAAAAATAAATTGCTCGGTTGACAGACATATGCTTGCTACTGCTTTGTTTAGGCGGCAAGTTTGCTATCGTAGCGAGGCGGACAGCAAGGGACGTGGCTTGACATTTTGGCCCAACGAAAAGATTCCTACAAAGCGTTGCCGAATGACCATCGAAAGGGTGCAACCGAGAGTTGATTGGATGCAAGTCAGATGTGGGACAGAGGGCTGGGCTGGTAAGTGCCTTTGGTGTTTAATGTTTTCCAGTTCTCTGTATAATTTGTTTCGGGCACATACAAGAAAGCAGTGGAGATATCGCAGCCTCTGGAGGAGCTTTGATGCCACCTCATATGCTTCATGTTTCTGCCCTTCCAACGATATGTTTGCTCAATAAATAATGAAACTTGATTTGTTTCAAACAAGACCACATTGCACCTGTCTACTTCTTATTATAACAGCTGCAGTACATGAAGATAGTAGAGTTACAAAAATACAGAATGCCCTAAGGATGTCCTTACATGGTCCAGAAACTGTTTTTGGACATCCACTGGACGTCCTTTTGTGTTTCACTTCGGATGTTTTCTGAACTTTATTAGGACATCCACGGGATATCCTGAACGTCCCAGATGGGACATCCGCAGGATGCCCGCTGGATGTCTTTGTGTTGTCTGGGTTATAATGTACACTCATGATGGCAGTAGCTAATAAGAAAGTTAATAATTTTAAAGGTTCGTTCGATTTACCTGCACCCGTGCAGAAAAGTGTAGTGTGGTGAACTTCCGGTTGTATCTCAATAGATAGGCAGGTAGTACACTGCTCTGCACTTTTCTGCACCGGTGCAGCAAGTGCAGGTAAATCAAGCGAGCAGACCTGGAAGGGCCACGTTTTGGAAATATGCTACCAAGTATCCCAAATAGCGGCCAGGCTCTTTAAATCGACCGCAAAATTCGGTTCATTAACCTACGATGTTGTGCAGCGCTGCCCACAGATTGTGCTTTTTTTTCCCCATGGAAATGCAGCAAAGCCACCGGTCTGCAAACAATAGGGCGCCCTATGGTTTGAAGACCGGTGGCTTCGCTGCGCTTCCATAGGAGTTGAGCCTTTTTCTCTTTCTACTTTTTCCTCAGGAAAGTTCACTCTTTGCAAATTTTACAACAAAAAAATGCACCATCTGTGGGCAACGCTGCACAAAATCCTAGCGCGATAGGTTAAGAAACCGAATTTCGTGGTCGATTTAAAGAGCCTGGCTGCTATTTGGGACACCTGGTATTTATGTTTTTCGTCGGCGTGCATACGAATCGCAGCAGGCGTTCCCGGCCCCGCCGTCTTGCATAGACCCCCACTTTGAGTCAGTGACAAAGGCGCCGCATACACACACTTTGCACGGTTCCTTTGGAGATCCTCCATCTTCACCATCTCACAGCAGCCTTCAAATGTCCAAATAGACGAAAAAGCAAATTCAAGGGATATAGCTCCAAATTTTATTGAAATCCAAATGCCCAAGGAATCTGAAATATTTCCTTTTTTTTTTTTTTTTTATCGTTACCTTTAAAAAGTTGTGCCAAGAAGTGCTGAGGTGCAGAAATTTGCTGAATGATGTGCCTAATGTCAGCTGAAAAGGAAGCTGGCACCAATACATCCTGCTGAATACTGTACGAATTCACTTCACATGCAGTTTCAATCCTAGCATAAGTTGAGCATGTTTTTAAGGATCCTAGTGCAAAACCATGAATTCCTTGGATTTAGGCCAGTGCTGGGTTGGCACTGAAGCAAAGTTCCTCAGAACGGTCTGTTCAATGAGTATTTGATGAGAGTTGCTAATACTGCAGACAGGACAATCACTGCTCTGAATTGCGACACAAACTGCATAAAGCTAAGCACTTCCCTAGAAAGTAGGATGCCTTCAAGAAAACATCACTGCAGCTGAAGACTGTCAGCAGTTCAGATAATACTACAAAGTGCACAGGTAAACCCAAGATGACCAGCTGCCTCATAAAACTGCACACAATCCTCAAAAAATAGAAGTACAGAGGTTTCGGTGGTGGAAAAAGACAGTGTGACCAAACATATGTAAAAGGAGTGCTCAACTACTATCACAGAAGTTGCTACAAAAACAGCAACTCTAAGGCCCTCCCTTTTGAAATGCTCCACAAAAACACCACACTTTTTATCTTTGGCTCAAGTTGTAGAGTTGCTAAGTTGAAAGCAATAGCACATACTTATAATGCCTGCCACCACTGGCACAATCAAAAACCACTGGACAACACACCGGTTGTAACAACATGAACCAGAAATGCTGACAAAAAAACTAGTCTTCAGTTACTCCTATATGCTCCAAAACAGCTAAAGCAGAAAACCTATAACTAGCCCAGCGTTGCTCAACTCCGACAATCCAAAGCAAGCGACAGAATTGCAATGTTCCACACTTGTACAGTGTGCACAGCAGTACCAATTGCCTTTTCTAGAAAGAAACTGAACATTGGCCTCACATTTGAACACCTACTGAACAAGAAGCATGAGGCAGGAATCCACAATAACAATGCTTACTCCGTATTAGTAGAGCTCTGCAAGCCCATAAGTCATCCAGATATCTACAGTGGAACTGGTAGACGTAGACAGTTTATAAATGTTGTTGATGTCGGTGTGAACACCCCGACGTTATGCAGCCAAAGTTTGTCTCTCTATGCTAAATTTGAATGCCTTCTTTGCTTAGATCAATTTACTGAAATAGCTGCGAGTGTCTGAGCTTCTAAGGATCCTGTCCCCCAGTATAATACGGACACCGCTATTGGTGCAACATGCTGTCTTTGTGATGTCCCTGTTTGGACAACAATCCTTTGGTCAGGAGGTTCTTGGTACAGCTGCTGGCACTGCCTAATTACCTTTGTAAATGTTGCAAATGCTAATGACACAGCAAGTCAGAGTATTAGTCTTACACAGGTGCGCAAAAAGCCTCTTCGCTTTTTGCGCATCCCACAAAATTGCAGTCTATTAAGGGCTTTACTAATTACTAGTACAATTAATGATGCATCTATGCAGCAGCACCCAGTTGCACTAAGAAAGTATGGCTCTTTTGTTGAGACTGACACTTGGGAACAGTCACTTGAAAAAGGGATGACCTTGGTGAGAGTCACCTCCCGAAGGTGCTCAAGACGCTGCCTCAGAGCTCGTCGTGGCTAGCCTGGAAGAGAAAAGATAAGCTATTGAAGAACTGCACTTGCCACAGGTCTTGAAACAGATTTCATCTGAGGGCAGGCATGTACCCAGGATTTTCTTTTTAGGGGGGGGGGGGGGGGGGGGGGGGCAAGTTGCTTTGTGAGGCAGAGGGGGGAAAGGAGGCCCCACCAAAATGAAAGATTTCAGGGGGGGGGGCCCCATGGGCTCCCCCTGGATACGTGCCTGTCTGAGGGTGCACAAGATTGATGAAGCTGTGGCCGAGAATCTTACGCTGCATACTTAAAGCCTCGCTGACATGCAGCCGGAAATGAGAAAACTGGCCGTCATTTACTCCTTTCCAGTGCAGAAAAGAGGAATGCCCTCCTCTTTTTTGAAGGAATCGCTCCATTTACCAATAAGCTGACAGAGCGATGGAAGCTACATACTTGTTGGAGCAGCCAACCGTCGGCCTTGCAACATATGATCACACTTTCTGCACTACTATCACACAGAGAGCTGGGTCGGTTGATAAAAGGCAGGCAAATGCGAAGCGCAAGTTCATCTGCTTCTCAGGCAGGGGTTGCGGTGACGTCAGAACGCCGAGCTCCGATTGGCTCCGATTCGGATGATAGTGGGTAGACCTCAAGGCAGCTAACATTGAGGTCTACCCAGTATTTTTCCTATCAAAGCCAATCAGAACTTGGCGTTCTGATGTCACTGCAACCCCTTCACAAGAGGCAGACAAACTTGCGCTCTGCATTGATTAGGTCCAGCTAGAATTGAGCTTCCACCGCCCGGTCAGCTTAGCAGAGAATAGAGCATGGCTCCCAGATCTGCTCATTTTGGGCACCAAGGAAGAGCACGAGGAGGAATGAAGAGACTGGGAAAGTTTTTTTTTACCAAGCTGTAAATTGTTTTGTGGGTCAGCCTTTAAAACAAAATGTGCAGAAAGACAGAAGGCCAGTGCTAAGTGCCAACACAGGACAAGCACTGACTCGTTTTAATTCCCTCAACATAGGAAGAAAATGTCTGCAGGGCAATGCAGAGGCGTGCACACACACTAGTGTTTGTCCCAAGTTGATGCTACAAAATGCATCACTTTGGGAAGAATCTGCGACCCCAACAATATTGACTTGGTTGCTGACCTGAGCTTGGGTGCAGGCACAAGAGGACTCGTCGCGTGGCTGAGGCACATGCTCCATGGTCTGATGAATGTCGACCTTCCTGATGAGCCTAAGAGAGTACTCCTGCAACAGCTGGGCATAGTAGCACAGGACATGGTGCGGCAGCAAGTAATCCAAAACAAACTGCTGAGCCGACCTCACAATGCGCTGCGCACGCTCGTCGTTTTTGCGAGCCCAGTCGAGCTTCTGCACCAGGTCACTCAAATCTCTCCGAAATGGCACGTAGTGCTCCATGGCCACAAGGCGTGGGTAGAAGTGCTCGTAGTACTCGGAGTCCTGCTTGAGGACGAGACCAGAACCGGCCAGCAGGTAGGGCAAACGGTATGCTGCCACCGTGCCGTCCACATTGATTTGGTACTTGTGCTGAGGAAAAGAAAGCAGCAAAACTCATGAGTGAGCAGAAATGTGGAAGGCAATCACCAATGGGCAAATGTCAGAGTAACATATTCAGCGAAGCCGGCGTGCACCATGAGAAAGGGCGACCAAATAAACGAGTCAACAGACATTCATACTCATCGTCACCTCAAGAAAAAAAGCAAGTTTTGAACATACCATAAAATTCTGTAAGAATGCCCACCCAAATGAAGAGATAAATGGTGAAAAAGATGGGGTGTGCTATCTGTGGGGATGCGACAGCAAAACTTCATCAAACATGAATGATAAACACCAGGCACCCGCTACAAACCACGTGACGCTGGAACTGATACTGCAGATCGTGGACACGGTAAATTCGCATTTCACGATGAGGCAAACCCGCAGGAATCCACTACGAACTCCTGTGTCATGGGAAAGGTTATTGTATGTTGCGGATGCCACAGATTCGCATTTCACAGTGCGAAGGGCCCGCGGAAACTCGTCGAGAACTTGCATCTCATGGGAACGGATACCGCAGATCGCGGATGCAGCAGACTCGAGTCTTATGGTGAAATAAACACACGGGAGCCCGCTACAAACTTGCCTGTCACGGGAACGGACATTGCACATGCAGATCACGGGAATGAATATCGCGGACGCAGCAGATTCGCATTTCAAAATGCAATATACACACAGGAAGTCGCGTGTTATGGGAGCCGTTATCGCACGCGCAGATCACGGACAAAAACGCGGGAACCCGATATGAATTCACTTGTCAGATGTACCAGTACCGCAGATCATGCGGTTGATGTGATTCTTGTCGGATATCGCGTGACGTCGGCGGGTGGGCGATTTTTCGGAATTTTTATGCTACGGATATTTAGCCATAAAAACGGGATGGGCGATCTCTCGGGGGAGGGCATCCTTATGGAATTTTACGGTAGTTCATACGCTGCCTTAAGTGGTTCTTACAAGATTCAGTTGCCAGAGAAGGAAATGATACCTTGTGCATTTAAATGTGTAGATTTCGATAAATTAACAAATAACTGATCTTAAATGCACACACGTATGTGCTCACATACTTGTATGCTATGCACTTTTTTTGTATGTGCCACATAAATGGGGAATTCAGTAACACTTTGCAAGGAGCCACACTTTTTGCACTACAGTTATTGAGGCAAATACGAGTACAGGAGGCGATATTGCCAAGGTTATTTGTGGCACATTAGGACGATAGACACCTTTCAAACAGCACAAAAATCTGACAGAGTGTCAGCAGAGTCATTTCCAATGCACTGTGGTGCATCTTCTTGCAGTGTCAATGCGCTTCCATGCAGCCATCTTTCTTTCTGAAGAAGCCGACTCATGAAAGCGAAAGCAAGCAGAAATATATTTTCTGCGTTAATAAAATAGGCAGTGGTACATTATTGTTCTCTTTTAATGAAAGAAAGGCTCTGAGGCTTCTTAAGTGGTCCATGAACCACTTGTGTAATCATGTTGCATTTCTGATAATGTGGGTAGAAGGCTTCAAGCTAAAACAATGGGTCAGAAGAAACAAAATAAGTTACACTGTTGCAGGTTAAGAAAAGCAGGACAAGGCCACTTTAGCCAGCAAATGCTGGAGAAGAGGAGAGTGGGCTTGCCTCCTCTCCAGCATTCGCTCACTAAAGTGGAAAGAGTGAAGGGCTTTGGGGGAGGAGCTTGGTCCTGCAGCATCAATAAGACTTCACTGGTGAGTGCAGATGCATGTCGCAACTGAGAGCACTTTCAAGCTTGAATACAAGTAGCATGTTCTTGGAAGGTTGTGTGTGTGCTATGTAGCAAGCCATGCAGCTCACCCTGAAGAAGTCGAAGAAAGAGATATGGCTGGCCTGAGGTCCATATTCTTCCATCTTGTCACGGAAAAAGAAGAAGTTTGTGAGCGAAGCGTTCAGCAGGTCAGGGTAGCGGCGCGACAGCGCAACCAGGTCCAGACGCTCCTGGCGGCTGTCCCTGCCCCTCCAGAACCCAGATGGTTCCTTGTCCTTCCAGGCTGGACCACCATGACCTTGCACTGATAGCATGTCCAGCGTCACCCTGCACTTGCAGGCCCACAAAAAAAATATTCCTCAATTTCAACAAAACAGACCCTGACTACCTACCGCGAGATACTAGGCAAGTACCAACCGCAATTTGGAAACTAATTATTAAGAATAAAATCTTTTGTGCACATACTTTGGAAGATTTAAAAAAAAAAAAAAAAATAGAAGGAGCATGTTTGCATGTTTATGAACATGCCGTAAAATCCCGAAAGGGCGGCCTCCCCCGAGAGATCTCCCATCCTGTTTTTTTGGTTAAATATCTGAAACATAAAAATTCCAAAACCATTGCCCACCCCCCAATCCCCGTTGGACATCATGCAATGTCCGACAGGAATAACATCAACCGTGCGATCAGCGGTACTGGAACGTGGCAAGCGGGTTTGCAGCGAGTTCCCGCGTCTTTTTCCATGATTTTCACGCACAATATCGGTTCCTGTGACATGCGAGTTCGTAGCAAGTTCCTGCGCTTTTTTGTCCGCGATCTGCGCGCACGATATCGGTTCCTATGGCATGCAAGTTTAGCTGGTTTCTGCGAGTTTATAGCACCGTGAAACACAAATCTGCTGCATCCGCAGTCTGCGGTATCCTTTCCCAAGACGTTTCGTACCTTGAGGAATATGGTCACCCTAGGAAAGAAGGAAGGAACCGAAATAGCATGGATAGCAAAAGGGGGGAACGGAAGGACCCTAATGAACTGGTGAAGGAGACAGAGGGAGGTTGAGGCTGAGGTTCCGATGGAAGAAATGCAAGGTCAGCCTCGGATAGGGCTAGTGAGGGGGAACCGACATTTGTAGGGCTGTGGCGCATTTTGAAGTACTTCAAAATTTCCTGTCCATACCTTGACCTCTGCAAAGCTAGTACTGATGTGGCCTCAAAGTTGGGGGTACACCAGTCTTGGGCAGTAACTAATTACTAGTGACGTGTTACCGGTAACTAGTTACTTTTTCTCGGCAACTTTTACCTATAACGCGTTACTCTTTAAAACTGGCAACTTGTAACTTTAACACTGCTACTTTTTTATTGGGTAACTGTAACTGTTTAGGCCGTTACAGTTACTTTTTTTTATTATATAAATTAGAACCTACTGCTGCGGACATGGTGAAATTCCCATCTTGAAGTATTTTTCTCGAAACTGCTTGTTGACAAAAAAAACAAACAAAAAGCGTGGCCACGCATTAAACAAACAAAGAATTGCCTGGTTTAGCTTACAATCAACGAGGCAACATGAAACCGGGAGATAAAGCAAGGGGCGCCCGCGGTGATAGGGGTGCAATGTGCGTTTCACCGACTTTGGCTCACTCTTTTCTTGTGGGGACCATCTGCGGGTATCGGTGGTCGTGCAAAATGTCTCGAGTATTCCGTCTGGGCTGTTTCCGAACCCCCTCCCCTACCCCCTACCACCCTCTCCCTCCCCTTTGTTGTATATGCCTGTGCTGTCATTTTTACACTCAGGCGCTCGCCGTTTCCTCTTCCCTATTAGTTTTCAAGGAAACCGTCCCCATATTGTGCAGAAAGTCGGCGCTTGTTTAACTTATTCATTCTCTTTGGAGCCGCTCGAGTAAACACGAAGGCAAGGTTCAAGTGTAATTGTCTTTTTCGTCGATAGCCTCAAGAAACACCTCAACGCAAGGACACTTTGTTGGGGAGTCTATGCAGTGCTACAATTGAAGCGATTTCCCTTAAAACACGTGTCTTAAGTGAGAGAAAGGGCTGTTTTTTGATGCATGCATACTGGTCTTCCACAGTTGGCATTTCGGACACAGATGCTGCGGTGGTCGTCATACACTCGTAGAGCGCCAGAAGGCCTCACTTTGTCTCCTTTCCCCGTATATTCTTTCGACGCTGCTTGACCTGCTATCTTTAGGTCTGCTTCCGAGTATATCCCATAAGGTAATTATGTGAACATCTGTGTCCTCATTGGTTTCGGAGTAAAAAATGAACAAGAACGGTCACTGATGCGTGCCGATGGCAATTTTGAAAAACAGTTGATTCGAAGTTATAACAATTATTGCAAAAAAATTATGCACATCAAAATGCTGAAACGGCGAAGGAAGCAAAAAAGAAACACCCTTCGGGTTTAAATTTTTCCAATTCCTCAGTTTACCTTTCCTCCCACTATAGTGTAACAAGTAAAACAATACTGTTTTAGTTTGTGATTTATTGTGTACAATTTTCGTACTGTAACGACAGTAACGGCGTTACTGCTTTTGCAGTAACTGGAACTGTAACACGTTACATTTTGAAGCCGGTGACTGTAACTGAGTTACTTTTCCCCCTAGGTAACTGTAACACTTTTTACTGGTAACGTGCCCATGACTGGGGTACACGATGCACAAGTTGCGACGTGTTCGGCAATAGGGTGATAGCTCGGGACAGAGGGATCAAGGGCAGCATTTTTTACCTCATTGGCATGCTCTCGAACTGTCGTTGACACATCGGCCAGACTGGCCAATGTATTAAGAGCTGCAGCTGAGGGGGATGGAGTGAATGCACTGTTTTTTGCATAGGAGATAAACTGTGGCGGCTGCAGGCTCTCTAAGCTGAAGAGGTTCAACAGATCCACTTGAGCGACGCCGATTAAAGGTTCTAATGAACGAACCACGAGCTGGCACACGGCTCTGTGGATGTTGAGCGGCGTAAATCGACGAGGCTAAGGTGACATTTCCTTGTGCATTGACGTAATTGTGCATTGACGTAAGCAAGAACCATATTTACCTTTTCTTCAGTTAAAATGCTTGCTGGGAGGCCATCGTACACCACGCAATGCGGTTTGCAGGCTGATTTTTTACTAACAGCCATTAGCATACGGCCAGAAGTTTTTTTTTTTTTTTCTTTTTACTTTGCTCTTTTATTTGAAGGTCAGGGACATGCCTCATGAGTGTGAAAATTATCCGTGAAAACAAGGAGTGCCAGTTATCACAATAAAAGATACAGATGATAAGTATCAATTCCGGACCTACCAGAACCACGCAATGATTTTGAATTTTAGATTGGCTCGCGGGGAGCAGGCCATGAGCCGATTTGGGATTGGTTCAAAGCTTTTGGTCACGTGTTGACAGCAATGTACGTGTTGCAACACGTCACGCTCTGACGCCTTTTCCGGGGTGCAACTATCTCCGCCCTTTGCGCGCTTTTTCCGGGTTAATTTCGGTTTCCCTCTGCCCCGATAGAACTATACAATAACAGAAAAAGAGTGCCTGGCCGTCGTTTGGGGCATAACAAATTTTGACCATACTTATATGGACGCCATTTCACAATCGTCACTGACCATCATGCTTTTTGTTATCTCTCTTCACTGAAGAACGTAACGGGACGACTCGGTCGATGGATACTGGCATTACAGGAACACACCTTCACAGTCGCTTACAAATCTGGTAGGAAGCATACGGATGCAGACGGACCCTCACGCTGTCCTGTCGAGGGTCCAGACAAACGCCTAGATCATATAGATGACGCTTTTGACTCAGCTTCAATTCATACAACCTCATTCTCAACCGAACAATAGAAAGATCCTTGGATTAGGGGCATTGTTCGGTAATTAGAATGACCAACCGATCTCTCAAACAAGGCACTAACAGTGGTGGTCCAGCCATTTTAGGTTTTGGAGCAATTTTTGGAGCAAGAAAAGCCCAATTTTGGAGCAATTCGTATCACATAAACTCCCCTTTTGGAGCAGGGAAAAGCTTGTTTTGGAGCACCTTGGTATCAGGAAAACTAAACATTTTGGAGCAGCATGAACATAGAACAGTTCTGTGCCATGTCTTTATTATTATATATATATTACGGCTGCCGAAAGTCCGAAACTATAGCGATTTATTAAACATGTTTGTAAGCTCTATTCTGAGTTCGCACGCAGTGCGACAGTATGACAACCAAGGGGTGACCAATCGTTTACGGCATTTGACATGAAAAGGAACATGCAACAATTCGCAACAAGGAAATCAAGCAACGACCACGCGATCGAAAAGAGTACCACATTCGGTATTGATGCCGCTGGTCTGCTGGTGAACGAGCGTCCGAGCAAATTTCTACTATGGGGTTTGTAACTTAAAACGCGCATGCAGAAAAAAAAAAACTACTCACGTTGGCTCCGCTTTAAGAGGACTTAGTAGTGGCGATGCAGAAATGAACAGCCACAACGCCGCATATCAAAACGGTCACAACAAAACAATAATGCGCAATAATGCCACTGAGCCGGAAACCTGAATTGGATTGTGATGGCTATGGTAACGGCTCTACCCGTTATATCAGGCGGCAGCTTGCACCTGCTTGCACCACCTAGAGCACTATATAGCTCTATAGTGCTCTAGCACCACCTAGCCTAGAAAATAAAACTCCCCCGGGTTGCCAGCCGAAAACGCCATTCTTCCAAAAAAAGGATTCGTTCACGGACCGACTAGCCCTGTTTGGCGCAGTTTGGCACGGTTTGGAGCAGTTTAGCGCAATTTGTGTCTTTAGGCGCAGCAAGGCGCAGGTAAAGGAGAATTTATCAAAATGGCGCAATTGGCGCAGCTGGACCACCCCTGCACTAAGAAAACCAATGCAGTACTTTTCATTGTGTGATGGAATCCTTTATCGCCACAACTTTTCTCCAGATGGCAATCGATGGCTTCTCGTAGTTCCTACGCACCTGCGGCCTGGCCTTCTTCACACTTTCTACGACGACCCTATGGCTGACCATATGGGATTTGCAGAAACATATTCACGTATCAAACATTGTTATTTTTGGCCGAAACTTTGACACTGTCTTTAGATATGTACAATCATGTCTCTAATGGCAGCAATGCAAGCGCCCCACAGGATTACGCCAACCCTTAGTTTGCCCAGGCTGTCTGTTTGAACACGTTGACATTGACCTCTTTGGACACAAACCATTCCCACTCTCTTCTTAAGGAAATCGTTGCATAGTCACCGCGGTCGACTACTTTACCAGGTACGCTGAAACAGCTGCACTCCCAAATGCATCTGCTGAAGCTGTTGCCAGTTTTTTTTATTGCGAACATCCTGCTACGTCACAGTGCACCAAGTGACAGAGGCCGTCAGTTCTTTTTCCGAACCGTAGGGGCAACCTTAAAGGCTTGCAACGTCGTACATCACACCACCTCTTCCTACCGAACGCTTTCATAGAACCCTCGCAGATATGACGACGATGTATGTCGCTTCTGATCATAACAACTATGAAACTATTTTGCCCTTCGTCACATTTGCGTACAATACCGAACAGCAAGATACCACTGGTTTCTCTCCCTACTTCATGGACAAGAAGCACCGTGCAACATGGACACTATCTTCCCTTATACAGCGAGTGATCAGAACGACCTTTTCATGCAGCTGACGTGCCGAGGAGTGTCGCCAACTGGCTCAACTTCAAACTGCTCAGCAGCAGCATACCGCGAAAACTCGCCATGATTTGTGGCATAGAGCCGCAACTTACGCGCCAGGAGACCTCGCCATGGTGTGGACAATCAAGCGACAAGGCTTAGCAGACAAGTTCCTGCGCAAGTATGTCAGGCCATATCGCGTCATCAAACAAACGACACCAGTCACATGCCATGCCGAACCACCCTCACCGCCATCCGATGCCCGCTTCCGAGATGATGACATTATTCATGGTGGAAAATACGCCTAAAAAACACGGACAAAGAAAGAAGCACACAGGACGAGGTGAGGTCTACGCCTCGTCCTGTGTGCTTCTTTCTTTGTCTGTGTTTTTTAGGCATATTTTCCACCATGCATAAGTGCCAACTAGCCCAACTCGCAGTTTTAATGACATTACTCATGTAAATCGACTAAAGAAATACGTTCAGCCCCAGCCAACCCTTCTCGAGCACCATCTCCGAGGTGCTCCTTACCGTACAACTCCAATCACCAATACCGCCTTCTTGCCTACGAACACCCCTGCTGCGTCCCCACATCACATGGATGCCACCCCCGCAAACACCACCCACAACCCCTTCTCCCCCCCCGCCCAGGGGTAATTGTGACGTGTATACTTGATGATGTCCCCTTCATTGTCTTTCAGCGTGGTGGCCGAGGAGCACAAGGCCCACGTGCACTTGAACTGGATGCGCGGGCAGAGGCGCGCTCAATGTTTTGAAGTACGGACATAAAAACAGTCGGCGGCCCTTGGTCTTCGTCCTATATAAATATATAAATTTTTATTTATATATCTTGCCTTTTTGCGCCCACACTTTCTTTTCACTTTTTGCGTCTGCACCTTCTTTTCTCATTTTTTTTTTTTAAAGCAGAGGGCGAAAAGAGCGAGCAAATACAACATAGTGTAGTGAACAAGTGTTTGAGATAGAAACGTGTGCAACTTTTGACCAATAAGAAGTATTAAGATGTTTTTGAGTTCTTGTTATTGTGTTGATGGAGAGGGATCGGTGGCGGAGTCGTCTAGCGCACACCAGCTTGGAGCACGTGGAGCGAAAGCACGCGCTGCATAAGATCCTGGGCTCAATCCCCACCCCTGCCTGTTTCGATCTGGATGAGCATTGTACCGGCATATGGTCATGTATCATTACTGCGTGGTGCACATTAAAGACCCCAGGCTAGCGGTTGTACTGCACTGGCTAAATTGCTCATCTACAGCTGAGAGACAAATCGCTCGTTGAAGGCATACTAACTTCAAGACGGTATTAACGTACCCACAACCAATGTTGTCCCGCTGTGGGATATCTGGGACTACTTTAAACCGTTTATTATAAAACGGCCGTCTAGCATTCCAATAAAAAAAATTATTAGAGAAACAAAAAAAAAAACCAAAAAAAGAAACAGCTTTTAGGAATGTGTAATTGGTAACCATTGGAGTCACTAGGGTCAGAAGCACGCACCCAAAAAGGTAGAGCTCCGCGAACCCCCCCCCCTCCGCCCATCGCGTGGCCTGCCACGAGACATTCCCTCTAAAACCATAAAAAACCAATATCAACAGGAAACGATAACCGTAATCGTAATGTTACATTTTTTGGTTTGAGTCTCTGACCACAGTGCAGAGGGGGAAACCCAGGGATACCGCTTCGAGATAACAGAACACAATCAGAAAATTTCTCCCCTGCATTCACCTGGGTGAAGTCAAGTACGTGAAAGAAAGAGAAACTGCTATACTTCGTTTCAGCTTCCGTCCGAGCGCAGCCAAAGCTAAGTGTGGCCGGAGCCAATCACACGCCGGCATTAGGTCACGCGATCTCGCCTGCACTTTTGTATCACTCCGCTGCGCCGCCGGTCGGCCACGCCGCCCGCGCTAACCGAGTATTTCGTCTGCTACGGGTGTATCAAAGATATCGTCTGCTACAGGTTTAAAAAGTGCCCTTTCACGTTCTGAAACGTAGTCACAGGGGATGTCAGTACGTAGGCTGGCCGCTGGCATCTGTGTCCGAGCTTTCCACCTGTTCGGCTTAGTTTTGAGTTGTAAGTACACGTTGCAAGGTTCCCGATGACCCGGCCATTGATGTTTCCTTGTATTGTTTGGATATACCAGAGCTCGAGGCGCAGTCCTTTCCACCAGCTTCTTGGCGTTCAATGTGATCGGCAGGTAAAGGGCTGCCCTGATTTCGCCGCGTATCTGAATTGTAGTGGCCCGGACGCTTTGCTTTTTTACAACGCATTCGCGGTACGACGCGGCCGGAGTCTTCTGCCGAATTCGAAAGTAGACATTCATCACGACTTCTCGCGCCTGACGCCCGAATGTGCCTTTGCGAAAGGGCGTTTTGAAGCGACTCGGTGAGGGAAGCAGCGAAGCACATGATTCGGCGATTACGAGAACGAAATCGCACAGAAAAACCGAACGCTGCAGCCGTGTTGCCAGCGGATATACATGTTTTCACTGAACCACATGCATTTACATATATTAATAGAAACGTAAACTTCAAAGATCTGATTCCTTTAGTTGCAAATCATTCCCAGCACTACACATCTGGAACATTGTGCAGTTTTTACGCACAAAACAGTTATTTTAAACGAAATTACTTTTGTGAACTACTTTGTGATGCGTAGGAATGCTCTTCTCGAAGTTGCGAACCGTCCCTCAGCCTTTGGCTGCGCTCGGACGGAAGCTGAAACGAAGTATAGTGTTTAATCGAAGATTTCTTAACAGGCATTGTGAGTGCCCGTGCAATATCTGAGAGGGAGCAAAGGAACATACCTGCCCATCATCTCGAGAGACGACTCGGTAAGGTCGTAGGTGGGCATGACAATGTCCCTGGTGCTGTTGGAGCCACACCAGGAGAAAAAGGGCACCGGCTTCCCCCAGTAGTCCTTGCGTTCCAGGGGCCAGTCACCCAAATTCACCAGCATTTCCACGTCTGGGAGGACAACCTGCAAAGACCTTTCATCTCAGAGGCCACAACCACTACTGAGACCGGTTGGCACGCCAAACTGCTATGGGTTGTAGTTCAGGCCTGAAGGAATAAACTGGCACTTGCCTTTCTCGCAAGAGAGAGTAGAATCTGGTCCATGAACATGTTGAAGCCGACGTGCTGGCCGTAGCATTTCCTATACACCTAAAATACAAGCAAAAAGGGAGCTCAGATGAAAGCTTGCTGAAATGTCCTATGTAATAGTACTTTCAGACTGAGGTAGGAAACAAAAAATAATAGTTACCACCATTAACAACCCGTGCCAGGACAATAGTACTTTTCAGAGTATAGAGTTTCTACAACATGTATAGGATTTCTACAATATGCAGACCTTGACACCTGCACACAGAAAGCTCATACTTTATGAAAACTCCACTAGCTTCCAGCTAAAAAAGAATTTTTTTTTTTAAATTTTTGTTCTTAAAAAGATATAAGCTGTAAACTTGAAATCACTTGATTTTTTTAAATTTTTGCACAAACAACTTTTGGATGACACAAAATTCAACTTGGGCTCCAAATCCTCTGTACCATCCGCTTAAAACTAACATGATTGGCTTGAGCGAAAGTGGTCACTGTGTGCATTTCTTTGCACCAATGAGTAAAACACCGATGTAAACATTGAGGTTGTTGCAGTTTTGCAAATTTTACTCGGCATCAATGTCTGTGTAATACCCACATTGCAAGGCAAATGGAAGAGACATCATTGTTTTCATCAGGCAATCGAACGAACAGGTACTGAACAAATATTGCCTTTAAACTTTTGTTCATGTCTCTGTGAATGATGCTGGAATGTATTAACCCTTTAACACTAGTAAAGAAACATACTATGATTTGGACTAGGGCATGGCTATATTCTTGGAATATTGTGCATTTACATGGTTTTCTCAGATTCAAACTGCATTTTTATGAATGCATTTTGCATTCATAGGCCCACCGAATAAAATAAAATATTGGAGCTTTATGGGCGACTTCTGCGACGACCTAGGGTTGGAATCTTGCAATGCAGGGGCCGAGAAGGAACCTCGATACTATGGAGCTATGGCAAGAGAATGTACCTGGTTCTTCACAACCGCATAGTGGCAGAAGCTCACGGATCCAGGGCGATCAAATCTCTGGAGTGCATCTTGGAGCACCTTCTTCATGTCCACCTTCTCAAAATCTCTGAGGTCGGCCAGTATTTGGGGGTCAACAGCACGGCACTCCAGATGGCCAAGCCATTCATTGTAAGGAATGGGACAGTTGCAGGTGTCATGGTGAAGTGGGCCTGTTTTGGAAGCATATGGAGGCTCACATAAAAAAGATCTCTGGTCACCCCTTCAATCATAACATAATGTACAATGTGAGCAGATAAAAACTTTAATATACACCAGTAACACAAAAGCATAATGCAGAAAAAGATAAAATAGCTGTGTCTTACCTCTGAGCAGGATAGGAGATTCAGGAAGTGGAGATCCCTTATATGCAATCTCGATTTTGGCTTCAGGGCAGGTCCTGAAGATCTTGTAGCGGACAAAGAATAAGCCATCCCCGCGGCTTAGCACCTGGGTCCAAATACTGCAGTGGCTCTGTGTGCCCAAGATATTCACGCTGAGGTTTCCAGGTGCAGACGTAGTGAAACTGTTTGTAGAAGAGAAAACCCAAAAATCCCAAAGAAGCTTGTTTCTCAAAAGCGTTTGTTTAGCTCATACAGTTTAGTTGGTCGATTGTTCATTCCTTATTTTATCTGGATATGCCCATGAACACACTTCAGACTTTGATAGTTGGGGACAAGCATACCAGAACCTAAACTACACGAAAAGCATAAACGGATCTTGTCACATGACATAAATTAAGCATTCTTTATGATATCCTTGTGGCATGGTAAAATGGTGGATGCGGTAGATGGCTGTAAGGACTCTGGCTCCAAGCTTGGACGTAGCCTTGGAATGATCCACACACCACGGCACCACTTCACAGTTGTATGCCGGTTACGTTCGAGAAGGAAAACATGAGGGTGATCACCGCAAAAGGGGGCTACTTAATTTTCCTGCTTTTGCGCGTTGAGCGAGGAAGGAACACGAGGTATGGGGGAGGTACCGGCGGTACCGGTCGCTGGTGGTTACAACAAACGAACGAGCGAGACATAACGCTGAAGAACAAAAGCACGATCCCTTAACTCACTTGGAACCATCGGCGTCGACGACCTGCACGAAGAAGTACCTGGCCGGTAGTCGAAAGTTGCCGCGCAGTCCTGGTCCGTAGACTCGGACCGACTGTCCAGTGGGGGTGAGACTAGGGGCCCGTTCTTTGCACTCTGCGATGGGACATTGCTCCGCAGCGGCGGCGACCCGTAGCGCAAATGCCACGCAAGCGACCGCGAGGAACGACATAATACTGCCACAACCTTGAGCTTGACAGGAAGATTCCGCTTCGACGATCAATGCATCTTCCAGTCTAATTTCGTCTGCAAACACCTCTCCGTTGCTCAAGCAAGAGCTTTCCAGCGGAGCCTCGCTTCACAGGCGCATGCACGAAGCGCAAGTTAATGGTCCCACCTAGACGGGTTTATCAAGACGGCCACGAAGCATCATCATCTTTTCGCGCACGCTTTGAAAAGAACTTTTCTTGTTGCTCCTCGCGCGGCTCAGCGGCTTGGCTGGCTTGGCCTTCGCCTTTTCTTGGTCGCATCGCACCGCCGGCTACGTCGCCGCCTTCTCCCCAACTTTCCACTTCCCTCTCGCCTCCTTGCAAGACGCCGCTCAAGCAACTCACTCAAAACCCTCAATGCAAACATACTACATAAAATGAAAAACAGCGGAAGCGGCTTGAAGCTGCCAAACCAGCTGGACGAATCTTGTAAGTTACATCATTCACAAAGGAAGAAATAAAACCGACAAAACCACGCAAAACCCAGAAACAGGAATGTTTCTCGGTGGCTACCCTAGATGACGCCACAAGTCAACAGATTTCAGTAGATTTCAGAGCCACAGGTTTGAATTAAATGAAAAATAGAATAGATACCATGATACCAGAGCTCTGCATGATACCACACTGATGATACCATAATAAATACAACAAAATCTGACGCAACCACTGGACGCAACTAGAGCCACTAAATGAGCTCTGAATGAGCTGCACTAAATAAGCGTAGCTACCTGGGTAGTGTAATAGAAAACATTATTTTATTGATTATTGCTCAAAGAAAACATGTTTGCGCTTTAGTACAAGGACAGAGGAAGAACAGAACAGAACAGACGGGTAATACCACGTGACATCGCGAGAACGATCCGCGACCGCCGCGACCGCGACTCGATTTTGAAACGGCTGGCATAATCAGTAGGGGTGTCGCGAACTTTTGTCGAACCAGATTTTTAGGTCGAACGTTCGGGGTTCGACTGGGTCGAACCGGTTCGACGAACCTTCGAACTTTTCACCAGATTCGACCGGTTCGACTTTGTGGACAGTGTGGCCAGACCTTGATACAAGCATGTCTAGGTTTGGAGAATTCTTTATTAAGAAAAGGGTTATTTTATTTTAGAAACAGTTGCAATTTAAAGAAACTAATTCTAATCACTGAAGAAGTTAATAACTTAATTTTTTTGTACTGTATTAAGTGAAATAACCAATCAGCGCTGCCCTTAATTTATTTCTTAGCCATCACCATCCAATCCGAAGCCAACTGGCCAGCCTGTCGCGCATGCGCACATGAGTCGAACCTCAATACAAGGTTCGTCGAATTTTCTACTAAAAGGTCGAAAAAGTCGAACCTGGTCGAACTCGAACCTCGGCCGGTTCGCGACACCCCTAATAATCAGCTGGATACTTCACGGATTGGCTTCGTCTTGGGCTACGGCAAAAAGAAAACAGCAGCGATAGCAGAAAATAGCAGACGATCTCTTTTGGTCATGGAGAAAGCACTAGAAGAGACGATAATATTAATGACGGCGTGGTGTTTTCTGAGGTGGCGCCACCATACCTTTTGCTTAGAGTAACTGCACATGCTCCGCTTTACTCTACTTTTGCTCACCTTCCTTTTGGGCTGTATATTGAAATCAAAATTCGTTACTTCTATCAGTGAAACATCAAAAATTTGTTCTTATCAATCAGCGCGATCGCTGTAAATCTAGCACAGGTGCCCTAAACGCGTATGTTCCACGCGTCGTAATTTGCAACGATTACGTTTTGCGGAAATTGCTTCCACACGGTGCAGCGGAACAGCGCAGGGGGCTTTCTCGACAGTGATATGTAACTTACGTTCGCTCTAACGCAAATATGATTAATCACAAAGAAAACTTCAAAACAGCTCTAGGCAATTTCTTGGGGATGGAGATGGGGAGGGGTTGTTGACTGATCATGTACATGAAATCTCCGAAGCCTTCGCTGCTTTACAACCATTGCCCTCTCATTACACACACTCTGGGGAAAACAAAAAGATACTTCCACATCATCTACAGCGTTCGAACATTTTCAGCCTTGAACGTAAGATTACGGAATTCCCTCCAACGCCGAGGACGAGGATGCGGAGGAGCTCCTGCTTACGCTCGCACTCTGATAATAACAACAGGCAGGGATGGGCAGTATTTAAAATACTTTGTGTATTTTGCATTTGTATTTAATTACGAACTGGGTAATATATTTGACGTGTGTATTTAAATACTAAAATGTGGGTATTTCAAATACAATTGTATATAAATACAATTTCGTGGGCGAAAATACACCCCTCAAATTTATTGTCACGACTCATTTTGCTCATCCTAAGACGTGTCCAGAGCAGGAAGAAAACTACGTTCTGCACCGAATGCAGTGTCTCTCAATCAAGCACAAGCGTTTAGTGACTTTGTGATTACGGTGCTAGTCCAGGGCAAGAATAGTGACGAAATCGACGTTCACAGGCAGACTGGCTAAATAAGTGCCTGTGACAACTTGTAAAACTTTCCATCCATACTTTTGCCTGGAACATTCTAAATGCGCGGGTCGTCCAGATTTTCGTAACTGGTACGAGTTGCAACAATAAAAAATTCTCTGGCTAGTGCTGCGCGTCTTGGTCGTCTCAGTTCTTTGTTGGTCTATACCAAAATGTTATCGACAAAAAAAGCTGCGTGAAGCTCTGTACTTTTTTCACCTATTACGTCCAAGCTGATTACTTTTTTTTTTTTTTTGTGATTATATTTCTATTACGTTACTAGAACCTCGCACACTAACTCCCGAGCGTGCAATGCAAAATTAAAATGAGATACCCAGAAACACGTTGCAGGTGCCCTGAAGTCGCTGACGCAAATTTTGAGGAATGTATTTGGAAAAGTATTTGGAGGGAGACCAAATACATTTGGTTGTATTCGTATCTTGTACTTAAATGCTTTTTTGGAAATGTAATTAGATTTGTAATTAAATACATTTTTGACGAAGTATTTTGTATTTGTATTTAGGTACATATTTGCATGTATTTTGCCCATCCCTGACAACAGGTATACCTTCCCGGGGAAGGTGTACGGTCTGGATGTGATGCAGTCAATTCCTGCGTTGAAAACAGCAAGTCGAAATAACCACACATAAATGGCTGCACCTCATTCTTTGTCATTTCGAACGTACGCCACCAAAGCCAACGAAGCAAGCGAGCTTTGATTGGCTTTGACGGCCGTCGCCGCAGAAAGCAGTTCACGAACAGATCACGTGACGTATTTACTCGATTTGATCCGACGTTACCCCCCGATCGAGGAGGGTTGTGTGAGCAATTACTCCGGAGTAAACAACCCGCTTCTGGAACGTCACGCAGCTGCGGTGGTGCTGTCGACGGCACTGCGCATGCGTAGACACTTCGCTTCACGAGAATTCGGTTTCTGCGCACGCGCACTGCACACACCTGGTGCGGGAAAACTCGGGCTTGTTTGTAAACAACGTGTCGTTCTATACCACTCCATACCGTTTGCAATGTACCAACTGGCCCCTCTAAGCACATTATTGCATGCCATCTAATTAATTTCTAGCGGTGAACCTCAGTGTTTGGAACGCTGCCGGTCGACAGGATGACAGATCCTATCATCAATGTTAAAGTGATGACTTGCTCTTAAAGAAACACTGCCAGCAAAAAAAAAAAAAAAAATATTGTACTGCCATAATAGGACAGGCATGTCTCAAAGTGAATTTTCATAAAAAGAAAGTGTACAATATTTACGTTGCAAAACAGTTTTTGAAACCAAAAATAACCTCGATTCTGCCATTTTGCACATAGGTGTAAATATTTTACCATTTTGTAAATTAAAATTTCATCTGAGACGTGCCTGTTCAGTCCAGGCAGTAAAACATCTTGCTGTCGCGTCCCTAAAAAAAAAAAAAAAATTGTGTGCAATTTTTTTTTCTTTTTTTTTTACAAGTGTGGCTCATTATTTTCAATGTCATCATAACTGATCCATACCATTGGCACGTCTAGTCCTAGCTGCTTTGCTGTGAGATTCTGCAGTACACCTTCGTACCTTTTTTGTACACATTTAGCTGTATATAGGGTGCGGGTACAACTCAAGTTTCTATTGTTTAGAAGTCTAACCCAAAGGAACAGGATTTTATGATCCATGTTAGAGTAATGAAGGTTGTGATATTTTGTGCTGTGTGTGTATTTATTCATACAACAGTCTAGCCATCTTCACCAAAGGCACAGAAGGTGTCACTTTCAAGTTCACATGTCTTGTAACTTTTCTACTACTTGTGAATGCCATTTCCTGCTGTTTTTTTTTTGTATTCAGCGAGTGAATCTATAGCCAGTTTCAGGATAGAGCATTCCTTCTGCTCTCGCGTGTGATAGCTAATTTTTTTAAACCTTTTTATGGCTTTATTGTACGTCTTCCTGCCATACTATTTTTATTTTCTTATATGTGCCAGATTTTGTGATCTTATTTTCTTTTACTGAATATTGTGATTAACTCCACATCTATAGTCCACAAATGTGCAAAGGTTTTCAGTAGTTCCGTTCTATACCTTGTTTTTGCCAAAGAGTATGATCCAAGACTGAAATAAACGCTGACTTCTTCAATTTCAGAAACAATGATTTTTCTATCATTGTGATGCAGTCGTCTTCATCTTGAAGCTATTTGCTACTTATTTGGGCAAATTCTCAAATATCAGCCTCCTCAGTAATATTTTAGTCACTGCAGTCTACTGTCTACTGTGCAGCGATGGTACAGTTCTCTTAGGAAGCAACACATTTCCCACATAGGAGGCGCGCTAAAAATGCCTGTGTTTGGTTCCCGACAGATTACTTGGAGATCCCATCACTATGATCTACAGGTGGAGCTTGGTAAATGGTAAGGCTGGAAATATATTTGGACCTCAAGATTATGACGGAGTGGGACACCGAGCAATCTCTAAGACGTATTTTTTTCATTGCTGACTTCATTTTTGTATCTTAATATGTTTCAATGGGTTAGAATTATAACGCTCGTTGTGACGAAAACCCGGCGGTGTCGGCCAGTTTGTAAGCGTCGGTGCGAAAGGGAGAAGGAGGGTGAGAGGGCGACGCATGCGACGCTCCCATTGGTCTGAAGCGCTGACATCAGAACGCATCAACCTTTCCCTCTCTCCCCGGCGCTGACAAACTGACAGACGTCGCCGGTTTTTCGTCAAAACGGACCCTTTTGTTTTCGTCGAAATCACCTGCACAGCTTGCGCAGAGCCAGAGAGGAGGAGGCGCCGCGTTGTGTCGCGGAGCGGCGGAATATTGCGGACGTGTTCAGTTGCCGCTTTGCTGTTGGCAGTTGTTCTTCGCTCTGGGTTTCCGTAGTAGTGGTGAGTCTGGATGTGCTGTGATGTCTGTGTGTGTAGTTACCCTTTCAAACGTCGTGCATCATTTATCTTGGAAAACATTTGCCTCACAAACTTTGTTTCTGAGGAAAATTTGCACAAAATTTTTCGCGAACTTT